TTTTTCTTATTCGCCTTTCCGTCTTTTTCCTTACTAACGTTCATTGCCTCCATTCCCAACAACCGGTAAAGCCTTCAAGAAAAGTGCTCCCAAGAGAAAATTCTTATTGCCCTAATTTTATTTATACGCAACAGATAGATGATATGGCTATGGAAAGGAAAATGTTTTCAATCCATGTATATTTTAAATTTTTGATTTCAGCGTCGTATAACTTCATGAATCATTCATCCGTTACGATTCACCCATCTTTCAATGCGGTTCTCAGTTGATGAAGTTTATTGCTAAAGCATTTAAATGATATCATATCATCATTTCACACTACTTCAAAATTGGATTTACAAGAAAATTGTTCAAGTTTCAAATTTTTCCATTTTAACTATCTTTGGATTACAAATTTGTTAGGTTTAATGCATATGAGGAAAGCATTGATTAAATCAAATACAGGATGAAATCAAATTTGAACTGATAAAATAGAGAAAGAATGAAGGAAATAATTATTTGCATTAATATCAGTGATGATAATTGGCCAAATGTATGCGAAATCGATAATGGGAATAATTAATTCGTTTCCTTTTAATAATCATAATAATAAAAGAGAAATTTCACTCTTTCAAAATTTACAATATTTGTTTGATATTAATCGGAAAGAAGTTGATTGATATCTTTCTTATAAATGCAAATAATAATAGTTCATAATAGTTTAATGTGAAAATTGATGTTGTTCATATACATTTCACATAAATTCGAATATTAAAAAGAAGAAATTAATTTTGTTAAAACTATTCCTTTCAGATATGTATGCTTTGCAAATATTTCATTAATAGTTCATCATTGGCAATATTTATTTGTTAAGAGGGAAATTTATCTCTCTCAAAGCTTTTTCTAATGCTTTTTTTTCAGTTGAAAACATTTTACTGTTACCTAAAAATAAATTAACCCATTTCAAATCATTTTGAAATGGATTAAAAACGGTAGAGAAAAGAGAAAATGAAAGAAGAAAGATAAGTAATTGATTTGGTTATTTCTAATTTGAAATGACAAACTAAAGAAGCGATAATCAATTGAGCAAAGAATGGATTAATGAAAACAGTTAAATAGCTAACAAATTAGGAAAACAGTTAAATGATTAGTAACGTCAATTTCCTTTTAGAGGGAGGCTTGCTTATTTTCGCTGTTTATTTTAATTTTCAATTTATGAAAAAAGTATTCTGAATTAGTTAACTAAAATTAAACTCTTCCATTTTTCTATTCAACGTTTAGAAATTTTCGAAAAAAAAGATCGTCGTTATGATTAAGGAAAGTATAATGATAAGAAAGAAAATTGGTGCTTACGATTTTTCCCACAATAACTATTTCTCGACAGTTTAAATTAATAAAAATTATTGATCAACGTGAGAGAAGCGCAATATCTCGTACACGTACGTACAAATTAAATTTGATAAGAGAATATTTATTTAAATTACATTGTATTATTTCCATGATAGGGTAGATCCCTACTATTATGCTTTAGTTATGAGTGAAATAAAATAAATTCGGAATATTTCAAAAAGAAATTTAAAATTTTCATCGAAAGCTTCAATAATAAATGCAATATAAGTTCATCAATAAAATGAATGCTTGGAAAGAAACATATGATGTCTGTCTTGTTTCAACGATAATAGCTGCCAATTAAATTTTATAAAATCCTATAAAGCAATAATAAAAAAATTATAGATTTTATCTAAATATAAAATTTTGCTAGTAATAATAAACTTAAAGAAAGAAATTAAGAAATTTAAAAAGTGGTCGAAAGAAAATTTGGATTAAGAATGAATTTTTTTCTTTTTACATTTCAAAATTTTCGAACAGCATTTATTTGCAGTTATAATATGTTTGTGGTAGGATAAAGTGGCGATAAGCATTTCACCTCGCATGAGCAAGCTTAATGACAATCTCGTAAATACAAGTATTACATAAAACTATATCCAACAGTAGCATTCAGTTAATTGTACAGAGTTATTATTTATCGTAAAATCAAAATAATTCATTTAAAGTTATATATAAATTAGATTAACTATGTTTGATCATGAAAAATTTCAACAAATTTCAACAATGGAAAATAATTCATTTTCTTACTTCTAAAATATAAATCCGTCTAGGCATATTTCTATTAAAGTTTTCAAATTTATATATATAACAAAATTTCCTGTTTCTCTTCTTGTATATTGTTATAATCATATCATAAAACTTCCCGGTTGATTCCGTATATTTTGAAGAGACTAAAGCCATAAGTTACATTTCTCATATGTAAATTTATATGAAATATTTGCAATGTTAACTTATTTTACTTTTTGTTTATTCCATTCCTTTTTTCCAGAATATTGCAATTTTATATTCATTAAATAAATCAATTATACTTAATGTGAACGGAGAATTCCGGAAGATTATCCGTTTGGATGAAGGGTCAAAGATTTTCAACATTTTCTTGCCTTTTCCTTATTTTTTGATCGCACAACGTCGAATCTTCTTTTCCTTTTTTCCACTCATTTTCTTCCTTTTTTTTCATAACATTTACTTACCTGTAATTAATACATTTACATCCATGTTGACATTAATTTATTAGCTATTATTCGATATTAAAAAGTACCAATGAATAAACAAACATTCAATAAAAGAAAGATGCGAAATTGAATGAAGTATACCTATTTATTTTCCACTTGTAAATTACTCAAAACTAAACTTATCAAACATTTCATCGATCACAAATCTATTTTATCATAAAATAAGAACAATTAATGCTTTCATTGTTGAAAACAGTTAACATAATCATAACATATATAATTTGTCATCTTTTTCCTTTTTTACTTCAAAAAAAGGGAACCAAATGATCGATGAACCATAAATTAGACTATTGCAGAAATAAGAAAAATAAACTACTAGCTTGGTTTCAGTTCTTTAATGATTCATTTCACTTGAGATTAGCGTGATTTGAAGAAAAAAAAACCAGTAGATTGGAAAATTTTGATAAGATCCTTCTCGTGATACGACTGCTCTTCGAATACTCTAAACATCCACAACACTCATCAACGATCTCAAATCCTGTCATCTATTATTATAGACTGATTTTTTTTCCTTGGCATGAAGCCGAGTTAAAAATATCTTGCAATATATAAATTCTATTCCCAAAACATCATTTTAAATAGTTTAACTTTTAGAAATTTTCAAAAAGAAAAAAATAAACTTTGAAAAGTAAAAAGAAATGAAAATGTGTGATAACAATTATTATTTTGACTATCATAAAGAAATATTCTTGAAATTTACGATTTGATACAACAAAATGATTTAAACGAAACCGAAATTAACGATACGTTTTCTTCTTCTTCCTCTTCTTCTGCCTTGCAACCTTATCATATTTTCTCCCCTCCTTGCAATATATTTATTATATCTTCCCCCGTCTAAACAAAATTTAGGATTGTAATGAAATGTATTTAGTACTTTATTCTTCAAATATTTATTACCCATTCATTGTGAAAATATATCATTCCACCGTTTGCATAATCTATCTACACGTGTTTGGAGGATGGATGGGATTGGTCGGATGGATAAAATAAGATGGAATAAAGGAAAAAGTAAAAAATGAATCATAAAACTGTTTGATGATATATTTATAATACTTTACACGAAACGCTGCGTTTATTTGATTATTCCGACAGTGTTTCTCATCGTCAGTCTGATAGGGAACAGATTATTTGTAACAGAAATATTTTTATTGATTAACCCCTATTGATTAATCTTTGGAAAATGAATTGAGTCCTGAAATTTTTTTCGAATATTACCACAGATTAAATTCTAAGAATTATAAACTACTAAGCAATGTATTTCTTTTCTCCTTTAAAGTTGATAACAATCCTATTTGTAAGTAAGGTCAGTGATTTAAAGGGAGTCTATTACTGTTTCGATCGTATTTTACAGGTAAGATGTCTATTTGCAATTTAATAAATTATAATTTCAATCTAATTAACACAATTCCTTTTTCGATATTCAAATTTTCAACTTCTTTTTTTAATTTATCGTAAGAAAAATTGATTTTTCCTGCGACTCATTACGTATAATCCACTCGAAAAGTATTGAATGAACTGGAAAGAAATATTGTATATTTCACATAATTACATTGTTTATATTCCAACACCATTTAAATAAGCGACACTGTCCATTTGTCCACTCCAAGGATAACTGCTGATGATACTTAAGCATTTCAAAAATTCTCATTTATAATGATGAAATGGCATTTACGAATTATCTGCCTATTTATGACTCCATTTTCATCTCTTTGCCTACTTTTAAAGCTTTTACCCATGGCTGAAATGATTTGTTATTGTTGCCATATTACTACATCATCAAATTAAAATGTTCTCAAATTCCACGGGAAAATTTTCGCCAAAATTTCGGATCAGAGAAGTACTTCTAGAATGCATCTGCTAACCGGAAACACGCATTTCATTTGTGCAATTAGAAAGCAGCTGTAAAAAAAAAAAAGAAAATATTGAATAATGTCAATAACTACCACGATCATGTGTTTCCTCCTATTTCCTGTCTATACCAATTCAGGATAGCCTATCAATATGAAATAAATGATTTGAGATGGTAAAAGAAACTTGGCTTAGGAGCAAGGAATAGTTAATAATTGAATTTAATAAAGCATAACAGATCAGAATTAACACCCTGCTTAATGCAACTTGAGAAACAAAAGAATAGCTTTCTAAGCTATGCTAATATGTTCCATTCTAGCATTTCAGATTGCCTTCAATGTGGTGCATCATTTCATCCAATCAGATTTAAAACTATATCCATCGATGATTTTTTTCTTTTAGTATACAATTTCCTTATTATCATTAACAAGCATTCTATCTCTGATATTGCTATTACCGAAAATAGAATTCGTCACATCAAAATAAACAATCCATTGAAAGGGTAAATTTGAACATTTAAAAGGCTGAAACGTCTCTTTCTATGATTGCCTTTCAGTAGTTCATCTTTTCTCTTTCTTTTTTAACGAAATATTGAATGTAAGGACGACGACGATGACGACGACGACGACGACGACGATGACGACGACGACGACGACGACGATGACGACGACGACGACGACGATGACGACGACGACGACGACGACGATGACGACGACGACGACGACGACGACGACGACTAACGTTGTTGGTCTTTTATAACATTTTTCTCTATTCATATTCTAATTAGTAAAAATATTCTCTATTTTTCTGAATGAAAAAAAGCTTGCATTCATCCATTTAACAGCAAAATAATTCATTTAATAGTAATATAAATTACTACGTCAAGGATGACAAAGACAACCGATAGTAGTTACCGATTAATAATAATTACTGACACGAATTGATTGGACGAAATAGTAGTAGCAATCAAAAAGCAATAGTGAAGAAAAACAAACATATTTACTAATAGTATCCAAGAGATTGATTTTATCAATGTATTTCATTGCTAGAAAAATTGAAAATACAGAGAATCAAATTAAGATATCATTTTCTAAATTCAATGATATCGATTGGTTGTTCGTCTGAACTATTCTCTTTCTTCTTTAATGTCCATAATTAAATGAAGGATAACTAAAATGCTTCTTGTCATTTAAAGCAAAATTTATAGCAAAAGTACCGTCAGATTATGGGCATAATTTCATTAAAAGCTGAAACTATTCACAGTAACTGCAAATGAATGGAACTATAAGATATTTGGAGGATTAATATTTAAAATGAAAAGTTTGAAAATATACAGATGTGCTTACATACGAGAGGACCGTCACAATGGAATGTGTCGAAGGCACAACGTGGTGATAGTAAAACCCCAGCTGAGAATATTAATGTGCCGAAAGAAGCGAAAGATAAAAAGACAGACTCAAAAAAGGTTATTCTTCAAATGGTTGTCATCATGTAATGGATGGATTAGCAAATGAAACTTATTAGAAAATAGCAGCTACCACCTGTTCAGGCAATCAATTGAGGAATAATTCCTTCTTAATCACTTTCAATCGTTATTATTTAATTAATCTATCATCTCCCATTTCCACCTCTTACTTGCATTTTATAAAATATTTATTGTTTTGCTATCTCCTTCTATTTCTCTCATTTATTTCTTAATATGCTTTCTCTATTGACATACTTGCTCACTATGAATTCCTTTACATTTGCTATTATCTCAATATGTTTTACTTACTAATTTAACTTGATCGGAAATAATATATTTTTACACTTTATTAATAGCTACTCTTACACCATCATTTTGAACCAACAAAAATCAGGGTTTTTCTATAAAGAAGTAGACTAAATTCTAACAGAGCAAAAATTGATGTGATGTTTGCAATTTGTATTAAGAAACAAAATAACAAGGACAGTTACTTAAATAGAATGCTAACAATAGCAGCATGGAGCAAGGGGAAAAACCCATCACACAATTAGTAATCACTGAAACGCAGAAAACCAACCTTATCGGCAGATGTGATGGAAGTAAACCAAAATTCAGGTGAATTTGATTTTAGATTTAATTTGGAAGTAATTTTTTTGTTAAAAATGAAACATTTGGAAATATCTATGCTTTATCGCATTTTTGTGAACATCATTTTAGAGAAATGGACCTCAACGATAACAAAAATCTAAAACAAAACGAATTAAACGAAGTAAGGAGAGAACAAAGCTTTTTACTAAATAAAACGAAAGTTTTCTAGACCTTATTACTAGTCATTTTAGTGGTTATAACAAAAAATAGCTTATTTCGTATTTAATCCATATAACTGATTGTAAATCGCTGCATAACAACATTTGCGACAGCCAATAATGACTGCAAATAAATATCACGATGGCGCAAAACTTTAAAAACTAACCATATGTTTGGTAAGATACATGGTCACTATGAAATTGGTAAATAAGAATGAAGATGGAAAAAAACGAAGCGCAGTTCTTATTAAAATCATTATTCAGAAAAATCAGCAATTAGCGAACTCATTCATTGCGGAATTTACTCAGAAAAGTATGTCAAAGAGCGGAACTTGCAAAAAAAACGAATCAGTGATACATGATAATACACTTGAAGAAATACCGCGTGATATGCCAAAATACGATTCCTTACAATAATCTCGAAATTACTTTTTTCCAGTTTCGTCTCTGCACACAAGTAAATACCGGAGAAAGTCTCTCTTCAGCTAATTTTTCCGAATAATTGAACATTTGAACATTAAGTTACAAATAATTATAAGAAATAAAAATGTGCAACTTTCTGACTTTTAACTCAAGAGGAAAGTTTATTGCGACGAATGATTCACTAATATCAAGGTAACGCATCATCAAACGGTTTTTTATTTACAGTAACCTCAACTTTGTCTTATTCAGGGAAGCAGTTCCAGATATAAGACAAAAAAAAGTGATGGATATAAAAAAACAGTCAACGCACAGTAGCGCTCGATCCTGAGCCATCTTCTAAATGTCGGTGAACCATTTCTTCTTTGGAAATCAAATGGGACACCTGAAAATTAGATATTTAAAAAAACAATCGTTTAACACATTTGACACCTAATCTTATCAAAATTTAAGCACATGGCAAAAAATAAAAAAACTACACTGGACAAGCCGGTTTCCCAACTTCATTTTATTTTAATCTGCGATAATTATTATGCAAAAAATAAAAGAAAACAAACAAACAATAACCTTATTAAGGATATCGGTAAGCTTTCGTACCGAACTAGCCCACTGATCCAACTGTTCAATATTAGCTTTTCGAGCACGCAAATTGACAACCTTCGCTGGGCGGTGAATTTTTGCATCAGGAATTGCACCCGTAACGATGAGATTACACAAAAAACTTTCCATTTCCTGAAATAGTTCAACTAATCTTTAAAATAAATAAAATCATATTTTAATTTATTAGCCGAAATCCTACAATGCCATTTTTAGCATAATTAGGATTCGCAAATTCCAGTTCAGAAGAATTCCGGCATATAATCACATCAAATTTTTTGCATTATTGCAGAACGTTTTGAATTGCATAAATAAAGCAGGATTCTCAAATCAATTCAACTATGTCCTACCTCAATGGGATAATCGAGTAATTCAGCCATACGCGCAAATGTTATTTTGGTATAATACTTCGCAATCATACGCATATTCTGCAGAAAATATAAATTTTATAAAGAAACAAATGGCTTCAATTGCTTCTTTTAAGAAGGTTCAGATTACGAATTGCTTCAGATAACAGATAAAACGCAGGGACGGAAATCTTGAACATTAAATTTTCCATATGACAAATTTAACAATAATTCATGTAGAAAGTCTTATTCGTGTACACTTTCATAACAGATAATACTCGATCTCCACAAAAGAAAACAAGCTATGAGGCTCTTACATGTTCACCAACACGAACATGCAAATCAGACCAACGTTTGTTTCCACTTTCACTACGATCGAGAACATCAGTTGCTTTGCTTGTCGGAATACCATCACGTAAGAGTTTTTCATATTTACTTATTGTTCTCTGCAAACAACTAACGTCATTTTTGAGTCTGATAAACAGCAACTCAGAGATGTCCGATATCATTCACTATTTCGGAAATATTATAAAGAATGTTCAAGGCACTGAGAAATTCCCCATGTTCACCCATATGGGAGTAAAGGATTTAGCGAAAAAACGAATATTTTTTCTTAATAAAGTCTTAAAGGGAAAGCACCAAAGAATCAATTTTTTAAAATAGATTTCATACTTTCCATGAAATCAATTCCTGATTAATAAACAGTTCGAGAAGCGAATTATATTCCGGGATAAGTTCTAGCTGCCGTCCTTCATGAATACGATGCAGTAAATCCCATTGTTCATTGTTGTGTGGGGAGAGTAACACATACAAGACAATGCATTTGAGAATCTGAAAAATATATATATAATATATCAACTCCGAAAAACCTGTATTCTTAATGTTCGACAAAAACTGACCTGTTTTGATTTTTCCTGATCAGTCTGCACACAAGTTGAATCTAAAACAGCTCGGTAGTATCGGCATACATCCAGATAAGCGCTTTCGTGCAATCCAATTTTGACCATTAGATCATAATATTTCAGTTTCAATTCTTGCACCTCAAAATGAAGCTTTGAATTATTTCAACAGGAACGTAACATATTCCGGGATAAGAAAATATTTTTTATTATCACATCTGTAGATGAAGCCATCTGAAACAGACTTGTGCAAGACTCAAGGGCACCCCACTTGATGCACTGTTGATGACGAGAATTTCAATGTCCTTTTTGGTAAAAACGTGACATTTTTCGGATTTACATGCATTTTTCAAAATACCTACTGCTATCACACTGTCCCAATATAGTAACAAGATGAACAAAATATACTTTATGACATTATTGCAAATATGTACAACAAGGATCATCAAGATAAGTGAGAAAAATAATCCCAATTTAAAAATTTACCTCTTCCGATTTGTTTTCGAAGAAACGAGTGGAAACCTTTTTGCACAAAATTGATCCACGAATAAAATCTTTTTTTAATATGCACAGGCGCATTTGCTCCAAAATGAATTCTACCTAAAAAGAAATGTATGTAAGACAAAAATGAAAAGTATCCCAAAGAAGAATCCGAAAGTAAACTTTTAATCAAAAAGAAAGCAACTTGCTTTTTCTTTCAGTTCCATAGAACCGTAAGTTTCCACTTGCAGTTCCAGAAGCATTGTTGTTGCTTCATCAATTTTACCTTCTGACTCTAATTTCTTCACAAGTCGAGCGGTCAATCGAGCTCGCTCAACTTCAACGTATATCTACAACCATTTGAAAAAATAACTGCATATCTGTTACGTTTTTATCCATCACACAAATCTTGACCAAAATTTGTTTTTTGTCAAGTATATTTCGAATTTGAAACAAGTTTTGAAAATTTTATAGAGACAAAGAGTGGTTTTGAAGGAAACCTTTCCAGCAGTAACATTCCTTAAAGTTTCGATAAGTTTGTCACGAATCTGCTCATTTGGTGTCTTTTCGATCATTTCGCAACAGTCGCGTACCTGAATAACATACTTGAGAACTCTTAACTTCACAGATCGTGAATTTAAAAGTGAAATCACTTTCAATCTTCCTCTGTCCTTGAAAATCTTGTTTTCTTTTACTCATTTCACAATAATGTCGTGTGCCTAAAATAATAAACTCAAAAATGAAAACTCACTACGAGAAATGAACATATAGAATCAAACCATTTTAGCTATTGCTTGTTTGATTATTGAACGTTTTTTAGATAGCATCAGAATAGTATCATTTAACAACGTCCAATCTCCTCCATCAAAGCACAGCTTTACCATGTGTTGAACAATACGTGTATTTGATTTCATATCTGATCCAAGCCTCGTTGATTTCTCCAAACTTGATAATGAATCTAGTGCTGCTGGCACATTACCACTCTGCAACTCATTTCTAGCAAATATTAACAGGGAACATTTTCTGCTTCAATCGAACATCGTCTCACTTTTCTCTGATGATACAACTGCACGATAAATATATCCTTTCCTTTTTTAATTTTCCGCGCTTTCTTGATCTCATAAAATCTCTTTCATCAATTCTACAGCTTAATTCATTTATGAATGAATTTTACATTTGTTTGAAACTTTTAAACAATTACTTAATCCACCTATGATACTACTCAAGCTGTGGCCAGTCTCATATCATCATGAATTTTGTGAATGCCATTACTATGCTTACTGCATAAGCACGCTGAATTAGCAAACAATCGCTAAAAATTAGAAAACTAGATACAAATAGACAACTGTTTAAATGAACGTTTCAAGCAACCTTAGCAATAGCATCTGCTTTAGCTAACGCTTCATCGGTCTGTTCCGTATAATCCACTTCCATTTTGAAAAGCCGTCCATCTCCTTCCTACAATCATTTTGTCTAACAAAGAGCGAAAATTTAAAACAAAACCCATTCTTTTTACAATTTCTGATAATTAGACATTTTAATCAGCTTATATTCTGTTACAAAATAAGCAATAATATTCAATCCTAGAAATGCTAGCTTCTTAACACATTATCTCTCCAAATTTGATAACCTGAACAGCTAGATTAGCATAGTAATTAGTAGGTTGAGATGACAATTTCGAGTTATCTGAACGTATTGGAGAAACCTTGCGTCCTTCCATTGCTGCAAAGCAGTGTATATTAATGGACCATTGTGACCATGAACAGTATGAGAAATTATACACTATAGATACGTCAAATATTCCCGCATGAGCTAACGTGAAAAGTTGTTCTGAGGCGAGTCAGTTCCCACTGACACTTTGTCTCTTATCTTTCTTTATCCTTTACTCAATCACGTTACAACTGCGATGCCTCTCCTCTCAATCTCTACAACTAGTCTGAAATCTAATCAAATCTTCAAACTTCTCTTACATTCAATTTCTCTGTGTACACCATGCGTCATAATCATTCACCAATTTTCCGTTGCCTGGTTTAATTTCTTTGCGATCTTCCCTTGCGCATACTCTCTCAAAATATCAAGCTATGTGCCATCGGAATCCTAAATCTCTCACCCACAACCTCTACAATCTTTGAGACCATCACCCCATCCCCCAGTAAGGTTTTTTCCAACGATCAAGCGTTTGTCTCATTTGCACAATCGGTAGACTACGATGATCAATGATAATGTATCAAACAAATCGAGGGCGTTATGATACTGGATGTCCTAGAATATCACAATTTTCGTTTGACAATTTCGTGGCTAGGACTGTTCAGCGAATTTTCAAGATACTTTAATTAATTTCAATAGTTGGGGATATTGATAATATCGTAGAATGTTTACCTTTTTATTTAAACTTCCTTCTTTTTATAATTAACCGTATTACATCAAGAATTACTTAGATTAATTGCGTAGTAAAAGTTTAGAAAAAAGTGTGTATAAATCCCGTCATATGTATGTCTTTCTCGGCTGATTACAAACAGTTAATATGATTTTTTCCACTTAATTCCAGGTAATGGTACCAAATCCAGGTGATTCGTCGAGCGAGTCAACATCGTTAACTAACGAGTCGGGACATGAGAGCAAATATGACGACAGAATGAATGAGCAGGATTGGGTAACCTTTTTGGCTGCTTTAAAACAGCTGAGCATTACCAAGATACTCTACAAATATTTTTCATCTTTATTTGATGCAAATTAATTTGATGTGGCATATAATTCTCGTTGTTTTAAAATTAAAAATTCAAAAAGAAAGTATTGATTGAGTAGATTAGAAGAGATATAAACTGAAAAAGGTCTTTTATGGGCTCTTAAGTGATTTGGTCTATGATCCTTGTATCTCTACGCTCTATAATCGCTTAGACATTTTTAGGAAGAAGGAAAGATGAATGAGGCCAGAAATTTGAAAGTAATTAGTGATGAATTAAAAGCAAAAAGATGTCCTCTTTTTGGTGGCAAATACTGTGATAGATTACCAAAAGATATCAGGTAAAGAGAGTTTTCTGAGATATCAAGAACTCAAATTCTTGTAGAAGTTTACTTATTGAGCTAATTTCCAATCAACGGTAATAATGATACATTTTTGTACATCAAGTGCTCATTTCGAAAAAAAGTTAAAATTAAAAAGAATTTGCCTTCATAATTAATGGAACATGCCTTAAATTAAGGAAGAAAGCAGGTGCACTAGAAGCGCGACTTGATAGCCTCATTAGTGGTTCGGTTACTACTCCATTCAGTAGTGACACTCGGGATGAACTACGCTTATTGATTGCTCAGGGTTTAACAACCGCTACTTTCAAAAAGGAAAGTATGGCTACTTTTTCTTTTTAGATCCAATTTTGAAACTGAGAGGCAAAAAATTTCTCTGTTGTTGAGAAAGCATGGAGTTGAATGAATTCATCACTGAAACTCTAACTCGAAGTTGAAAAAAAAAATAAGCCGAATCACTTTTTAAATTCTCCATTTGTGGTCTTGTTTGGTTATTACCATCAAAAGACATGTACACTGAATAGCGAGACAATCCAGCCCTTGGTGCGATAAGATTTGCTTGGAGGAATGTAATGAAGCAAAAGCTGACAGCTTAGGATGTCTAAGTTCGATATCTCCTAATTTATTCGATATCTCCTAATTTTATTTATTTGCAGTGAAGAAATACGACTTTTCCTTAAAATGTAATGCAGTCTGGTCAGCTGATGCTATTGCATATCGATGTAACACATGTGCATTCAATCCATGTATTATTTATTTGCTTTTGGTTATTGGTTGTTTAATCAAATGAGATATCTAGCGAATCCATAGGGTGATTTAGTAGTTTCAGTCATATGAACTTAGTGAAAACTATTCAGTAGTCGTCATAACTAGTGTATTTCATTAGGCGGTTAAATAACATTCGAAATAAATTAACTAATTTTTTCAATATTCCCAGAAAAATTGCAAAAAAATGAGCTCAAAGAACATTTTCAGGCATGTCTTTATGTAGCAGTTGCTTTAAAAATTCAAATCATGATGGGCATGATTTCAGTCGTTTCTTTTCACAAGCTGGAGGCGCTTGTGATTGTGGAAATGTGGATGTTTTAAAAGAATCAGGGTATTTCTCCAATTAGTTTTCCTTACTTCGAAAATAATTAAGACCAAAGACCTATTTTAGTTTATTACAGGTTCTGCTTTCGACACGGACCAAATGCACGCCGTCCACCTGTTCCTTCTCCAGATATTGTCTCACTAGGAGAATTCATTATTCCGAAACTCTTCGTTCGATTATTCCTGTGTTTTCGAGGTTGGGTAGGTTAACTTTTATTTTTCTGTTGATTTAAATTTAAGGAACACCGTCATCGATAATTAATATAATGAAGAATGTTAAATTTTGAAATGCTAAGATAGACTGTATTTTCTCTAAGTTGTGGAGCGCTTTTTTTTTTTGAATCAAAATGTTATTTTCTGTACAGTATAGCTAATACCACAAAAAGGACAAAAGACATTTTTTCACGTTTAACTTTATTATTTACAAACTAATTTACAGACGAAGCAGTACAACGCTTGTAAAGATGGTTCTAGCAAAGAAACTTTCAGTAATCATATTGTTAATCGAGCACATATTTTGATTGAACTAATTCAGGTTATTTCATTATTAGGATTCCAAAATTTTGCACCTAACCTCAAAATTTCGGATTCTCTTATTGATATCACTCAATCATTTCCCCAGCAATCAGTGTTGTGAAATAAATTATTACCAACTAAATCGATAGTATGATTTCACTGAATGGTTTAGTCTTTATCGGTTTCTTGTAGTGGATTGCATTGCAGCGTTCTATATACTGTTTATCATATTCTTTGCTAAATAACTGGATTGTCTTGATAAACCTTTGATAATTCTAACTAATATGGTATTGCTGAACATATAAGCACTACTCCAGTTCTTATCTAACATCGAAATTTGCTTTACATTTAGGAATTGATTGATTACGGTGGTCCAATCCGCGACGTCATCGTCAGAAATTTGTTAGATTCTCAGTTATATCACGATTTGAATAAGCGCAATGCCGATGATGATATCAGAGGTAGAAATTTTTGCTTTTGATTCACTGATTACTCCAATAATTCCAATAGTTATCTTAAGAATAGTTTCGAATTGTTAGAATTCTATTTCTAAGTTTCGTTATCATCTTATTGTTCTCTCCTCTTCACGTCTCGACAGAAATGGCAGATTTCATTTGATCAAACAACTGATTCGAACTGCTTACTTTTCAAAAAAACTAAAATGCGATATATATAAAAACTCTTTTGTCTGTCTGTTAATTAATCCAATGGCATATATTCGCAGTATTTTGAAACTCTTCTTGACTGTATGTCTTAAACTCATGCTAAATAATTGTATTTCCAGATCATGATCGGAGTCCTGATTTTTCCTTGGATTGGCGAACACGCGGCCTGTTTCTGGAAGATCTCCAGTCATTGAAACCAATTATCAATTCAAGTCAAACTAATGTCTGCTATGCGCCAGAATGTTTATTGGATGAGTTGATATTTTGGATGGTTCGGCTCATATTCCCTCAGATAATGATCAATCTATGCCTAAGTTTGCTATCGGATGTCAGCTACAGGGTTTGGCTGTTTTTTTAATTTTTTGAAATGATTTTTTTCAAGTTTCCTCGTTAAATATGAAAGGAAATTCCCAGATGTAGAACATCGCATTTTAAAATTATAATTTTCAGGTAATAATTGAAGTTTTATGTAAAGTTTTAGGATGTTTTTGCGAGACGGTTTTTCTCATTGTACCTTTGCATAGCTGAAATTTTGGTTGATTTATCCAAGCATGAAGGTGATAGCGCTATATATGCTGTCGGCAGTCGTATTATACACATTTCTATACAGGTATTTGAGCTTAGTTTAATTTTCAATTATGAAAAAATTCATTGTTGTAGCGTGCATATTAGATTTTATTTAAAAAAAAAGTAAAATTCAAGTTCAACAACCTTAGCATTTTAGTATAAAGTTTTAATACAATTCATTTCAGTTTGATTAAACTTTTGCTTTACAGATTCTTTCTAGTGAAGCTCAGTGTCTTAAATTAGATGATGAAATTAACTTGAAAGATAAGATAATTTCAAGTACTTATGGCGTTTTAAGAACCGGTGTTCAAAAGTCTACGATAACGCAAGGTTCGCTTTTATTTTGAATATATTTGATAAAGATCTTGAGACATTTAGCTAAATTTAATTTTAAATTTTATTATGCTGTAGTGCACATTTTATAGTATTGGGAAGCACCCACAACATTCAGTTCAATTCTCAATGAAATGGACCTGTATCAGTAAGTCAGTTATGCATTTTAAGATTTTACATTTTTAGCCCGTGAATATTTCTACGAAAATACTCCACCGCTGACAAACGACGATAAACTGTTCAAATGGCTTGTATATTCCGTGGGTGATGCTAATCAACCATTACGTAAAGCTTCATACTGGACGCTTGTTAGCGATTTGCAGAATTTATTAACGCATGGAGAAATTGCGCGAAGATTTCTTCGTGATCAGAAAAGCATGGGAAATTATGTGGTTTTAATAGCACCTATGCAAGGTATTCATCTGGACCATATAAACTTTTTAGAGAGTCGCTGAATCGAGTATGAAGATAGGAAAATAAAAAATGAAAAATGTACAGTGGATTTAGAAAATCAAATTGAAATATGAATTGAATATAATATTTTGGCTATAAATGGTAATAAAAAAATGAAGTATGTGTAAGTTAAATTTATTGCAGTTAATTTACGTCACTTACGCCGATTACTTCGTGGTATTTCAAAATTTATTTAACCCAGCTTTTTTATGACTATATTGATTATATAATAATATAAAACAATACTGTCATAAGTTTAGGGATGAATCCGAATTATCGAATAATCGTTGGCAATCATTTGGAATATGACACCACCCACACATATCAGGTACTGCTAACATATTTACTGTGGTCTAATTATGATTTTCGATGGCATTATTTTGTGAGGTAAGAATTGCATTTAAATTTCATCGATTTATTCCAGTTGGCATTTCATCTTGAGTGGGAAGTCTCAGCTTTGAATATGTTCAATATGTTAGCTGCATTGACGGTCGAAACTGAATGCATGAATATTTATCTTCTTCAGTGGAAAACCATTTTGGGGGTTTGTTAGTTTCGAAGAGATTTCTACTCCGTTTGTTGTCATAGTGAGCTGAAGCATCATTTACTTATTGTAGCACGTCGTCCGTTGTCTATTACTGCACAGCGGACACGATAATACATCACGAACACAAAATGAAGTCACATATTCCAGACATAATTATCATGTAATAGTATCTATGAAAGGAATCATGTCAACTTCACAGAGAACAGTGAATCTGAATAGAATGAAGTGTGAAAGGACGGGAAAGCATAAATAAGAAAATAAAAATATATAAGATGTTAGAAAATCATTACGAATATGAACAGAGCATAATGTTTTGGCTATAAAATAGTAATAAAAAAATTAAGTGTATGTAAGTTAAATTTATTGCAATTTTATTTCAGACCGTCAAGCTTTAACTAACCAATATTCCTTTTTTATCACAATGCTCCATCTCACAATGAGATGCTGGAGTTGGATCTCTGTTTAATTTAGTTTAGCATTAAATGTAAGGTACTGGAGTCTACATTAATTTGCATATATTCGTTGAGTTGAAGGAATGGTTTAACGCAATTGGTTTGACAAAGAACGATGTATGTGTTCAGCCATATTGCGTAAGTTATCATATTCCGCTGCACAGACATTTATCCGCTGGTATTTTGCGCTGCATCGAATTACCAGTATTTGTTTCTTGTTTGGACATCCTTATTGAAGATGAAGAATTTCTTCGCAAAGCTTTGTTTCACCCACTAAGAATACAGGTTGTCCTTATGCCCTTTTTGTTCCAATGTATCTTTTGTAGCTAAACTGTAGAAGTCTGGCTTTCAAGGTTGGGGGAATGCGTGGGAATAACAAAAAGTTGAGTTTTAATTTAATCTTTTAGGTATGTCGAGTTTTAATCTTTTAGGTATGTCGAGCAGAAACGTCAGCTGGTATGTGGGCAAGAAACGGTAATGTGGTGCGAAATCAGTCATTTTATTATGCGCAAACGAATTATAACAGCGCTTTTATGGACTGCGATATAGCATTGATTAGGTTAGTGTTCTCAATAAAATGAAATAGAATTAGTTCATTCTTTTTAGAATACTAATCTTGATACAATAGATTGTATTTGGAAATACCGAAGTTCTTGTTTTTTCTCCACTTATAGTTTCTACGTAACTGCATACGGGAAATATAATTGACTCGTTTATTCTTATCAGCTGTTGTGTAAATATTTTCAGCACTATTACTGGTTCGACATTTTGATTAATTTATATTAATCAAATTCATATTCATCTGCTTGTCATTTTATATATTCATTCATATTTCATAAACCATTTAAAGTAAATTGGGGGTGTTGGTATTTAGCAGTTTTTATGTTTCCTCGAAATTCTTTTACTGTTATGTCATGGTAAACATGTTTTTGTTTGTTAAATGGTTTATGAATATAAAATGACAAGAGATCGATCGAAAGAATAAATCTGCGTCTGTTTTCTACAGTAAATATTCCAGATTTGTAGCATGCTTTGTCGACGCGGAATGGTTTACAAAAGTTATTACTGCAGCTTTTTATTTGAATGATTGCTTGTCGCTTTGTGGTTTCCCTTCAAACGATGTTGTTCTTCCGCAGAAAAGACGAGTAGTCATACGAAGGGAATGGATAGATTTTTTGGTTGATGGTATTTTGAGGTTGGTTTTGCAAATTTTGGTTACTTTTTTTTATTTCCTTATGATTAGGACTTTAATCCTTATTTGCTAGTGGTTTGAACATTTGGTGTCATTCGGCGTGCATTATTAAGTAGTCCAAATTTTTGGGAAAATTACGAAGTCAATCATGTAGAGCCGCTGTGTAGAATTAAAGTGTTCATGTTAGCTTGACTCCAAAAAGAAAAATTCAGGTATTTTAATGTTTTTTTATTGCAAGATTGCTCTTGGAAGTTGTGGTTGTGAGATGGAATATTTACGGAAATGTTTCGAATAATCTAGAGAATGAAATTGTTGCCGCGCTTGCAATTAGCGATTTGACGCATTCGAAACTAAAAGCAGCTATTCCCGAAAGAGGAAACCGACCACTTGTTGATGACAAAACATTTGATAGTGTATTGGAAAAGGTGTGCACTATTAGGATTTGAAGCGTTCGGTATTGTCAAATGTTCTTTTTTTTGGGAGAATTGTTTTAATTAAGGAAATTTTATAAAACCAATAAGTATTTTTGATCAAATTATTACGTCCTAAGTATTTTATTTTTATTTTCTACCTTCATATTCATTTTCATTCGTTAGGTGGTTTCGCAGTTGTTAATCTTTTCCAAGAGTTTTTGTTCTTAGGCATATTCTAGATCATTAATTTTTCTCATTTCAGTTGGCAGTGTACTGCGGACCTGATCAAGGAGGTCATATTGAACAAGGAGTTTACATGTTGACAACAGAATCTTGGCAAACTCTGTTCGACCCCGTATTTTGTAGAATGCGAACAACTACTCCACGTGAATACAATGACGCATTGATGCGCTCTGAGAATGTGTAAGGGTTATAAATTTAAAAAAATTTAATCATCAGAAATTATCGGAAGTCTGTCCGGTGAATAGGTTTCAAAAAATGTTTGAAGCCAATTTTTGAACTTCAATTACAGAAGCCACTCGATCATTTCATTTTCCAGACTGCCGTATGTGCAACATTTTGACTTTTAAAATAAACTCAGGATGTTGACCGATATACTTTCATTTTAACTTTATCTTAGTAAAGTTGTATATGATTCTGACTACCATTTTTTGGAAATAATGACGAAAAAATAAATTACCATTCTTCAAGAAGAGTTTTTGAATCTAATTCGAATGTTTCACTCAGCTTAACTGAAATTTAATTGCACATCTTGAAAATTTATTCAGTGAACGCAGTTTACCGAAGCATCCAACAGTTATTCGTTCTGGTGATCACCTGTGGATTCCTTATCGTCTCTATTCATTTGATAACATTTGGACGGCGCGTAGTGCGAGGTTTCTGGTTACACCGTCATTTTTCAGCCTATTGCATAAGATTGTGTATACTGTAAGTTATCAATTTTTTATGTGTGGGCAGTTAATAATATCGCTTGAGAGCAGAAATTGCAAAAGATAAAGGAATATTGTAATCTGTAAAGTTTTAGATTGTATAAATATTTGGTTCTAACAATTTTGAGTTGTAAGAATGTTCGATTCTAACATTCACAAGACTGAGAGATCCGAAAATAATTCCTGCTTTGATAGAGCTTGTATATTTCAGTATGTTGAGCATCAACAACTGAACGAAGCAATTTTTCAAACGGCTGTTTATTTTTTGACATTAATGGTCAATTTTGTTACATCGGAACAGTTTTCACGCACTACTACAGAAAAATCAAAATTACCATCATCTGTGCTAGAAACATTCAGCAGTAAAAGAAATCCTATTTCTTCTCTTCTTTCAATGTTCACCGACTTTGTCGACATTGGAGAAAGGTAATTATTATTCGGTTTGTTTTAACAATTCAACGCTGGTTATTAATGAGACGTCCATTTGCAGTGTGCTTTCTCAATGTAATAAAATTCTCTCACTTAGTTTTCAGTAATTTTCGAAGTCCAGAAATTCCAAATATGAAAATTTTCGTTTGGAGTGCTCTTACACAACTTTTTTTTATAAATGCTCAAAAAATGGCTAAGTTTGAAAGATTTTCTGTTTGTTGATATATCTTATACCATTTTACAGGCAGATGCCATCAATAATTACACTTCTTTTGAAATATTTGCGTAGAATGAACAATGAAAATGTTATCAATGCAGAACATGATCATTTGCTGGCTCAGTATATTTCCAAACAACTAAACCTGGATTCCCTGCTTTTGGATTTCATTTCGGGTTATGCTATCGATTATATCGGGCGTCTTTTCTGTTTGCTTTATCGCAGGTCTCTCCACTTTTGCTCTTCAGTGTTCATCGTTTTCCTTTTGCCTCTTCAAGTTCAAATGTCTGATGATGCTTTCTGTGTTTTCTTAGCTTCAGGAATATTTTATTAATAATTTATAGATGAAGTTCAACCTCAGTTTGAGAGATTTCTATCCAGAAATCCAAATCGATAGAATTGTTTTGTTGTTGAACATGCATTCATTTGGCAAAAATTTTTATCATTTCTATTTTCAAAATTTCATAAGCTTCAGTCTTCGTTTTTTTAGCTGCGAAAAAATACGGGAAATTTTGGATCAGTTCATTAGTGAACATCAGATGGAAATGTTGAAATCAAATGATCCCCAGGAAAAGTATAGTTCTGACTCTTCCGCAAAATTAGCCCATCGATCGGCTGCAAAACGTCGTCAAGAGGTTTACTTCAAGTCAATTACTCCGATTTATTTAATAAATCTTGTTTTTTAATAAAAAATCTTGCATTTATAAAATTTATTGTTTAATAAATCTTGCACCAATCTTGATTCAGCAGTTCAAAAATTGGTAGAATCAGAGAAGCATTACTTATTTGTTGTGATATTAATGCTGCATAACATTCTTGCTTCTAGGCCTTATTGGCGGCTCATCAGAAGAAGAGCGCTGCACTAATGAAAAAGTTGATGGCAATAGAAGGATTAACACAAACTGAAATGGATGCAATGGATACTAAGGAGGTTATGTCTAATTCATTTTATTACGTGACCGAAGGTTCTTAAGTTTCTGATAGATTAGTTTGTGGATTTATTTGTATTAATTTGTAATAGTGGACCGAAAGTAGTCATCTAAAATGTCTTTTCTCGAAGTTCATTTCAGATCAAATTTACTTCTTTTCTGTCAGATTTTGTAGGATTTATTTTTAAAGTTTATGAAAATGCTTTTTTGTAAGCTTCTTTTTTCAGAATTCACCAGTGCGACATTATAGATGCCCGATTTGTAATGATACAACACCAAGTACATTGGCTCATCCGGTTGGACTAATGTCTCGCATAATTGTTAATTACGGCTCGTTTTCTTTTACACGCACAGAAACTTTTTCCTTCAAAGTCGATTTGTTGTCAGATGTTTCTAAACTTTACATTAAAAGCACTATTTTAATATAAGTAGTGTTTCTGTTGCCAGTTTCAGAGTTCTGCTTTCCTTAAATTTTCTAATATGTTTCGAGCTTTACTTCTTGCCGTGTATAATTTTAATATGACATCTCTTTACTTTCATATACTCTTATTCCTCACTGGTGTACTAAAATAGAAGCCAGATTTTGAGCCATAATACTATTTACACTTTAATAATGTAAATAATTTAGAAGCTGTTTTAGCTGTTGAACACTCTTTACCTGAAGATTGTCCATCACTATCGCTGATGGAAATGGGAGAAAAAGGCATACAGGCGAATTATATGATGCTAAAGATTTTCATCGCTTCACGTCAATCTCTTCTTCAGACTGTAAGTATTCAGTTTAATTTTTTTCAGTCAATTCTATGAAAATGCATAAACTTGAAAGAGATTCTGCTGTATGGTTCTGAACTTTCATATTTTTCTTATTGCAGCGCTTTCCGAAATATGCAGACCTTATTCAAGCTCCAACTGGTATTGAAGTTCGTACGTGTGGTCATTATGCACATGTCGAGTGTTACAAAGCTTATGTTAAAACATTGCTTGTTTGTTTTTATTTTGTTCTTAAATAATTTTGTTACCTTCTCTCCATGATTCGACAACAGCTTTAAAAATTGGATAAAACTTTATTTCAGGAAAATCCACCATCGTCACTTGATCCGCTGGAAGCACGAATCGAAATCTCATGCCCTGTGTGCCGTGGACCAGTTCATACTCTACTTCCTCTCGCTCCAGACACTGGCGTTGAAAGGATACGGTCTGTTTGAAATCTCGAACTATTTTCGCATCCACTGCATTTCTGTCTTCTTCCAAAGTTCCTTTTTTGCTGGTTAATTTTTCCTAAAGGCGTTGCAGACCTGGTATTTCCTATCAGAAAAACAATTACACACAATTGGTGAAAGAAGTGGAGAGGCTTATAAACAGTGATACTTCCCATACACAGGTGAGTTGGACTATGCGGTCATTTGGTGTAATATGATACGATTGCGCTTCTTATTCTGGTGAAAACTAATAGCTAGCGGCGGTTAAAGCATTGTTGCTTTGAGCTAGTTATAGAGCAACATGCGAGGCCATGAATTACTTCAGTCTTTTGAGGCTCATATGTCGTACCTTTTTATCTGCTTTTTCCATTCTGCGATGGGTTCCTCAGATTTAATCTATGATTTTTTTTTGCCATTAAATATGCTCTGAACTTTTTCTATGAATCATCATTATTAAATTATTCATTCTTCATTTCATTAATTGGTTTAACAGTTAAACAGTTTTTTCTCAGCCGTCACATTTCATATGTTTGACACTTTTGCAGGGCAATGGGGAAACGAAGTTTGTGGCATATCAGCAATTATTTTTAAATTTCACTTCTTTATGCCATAAATGGACAGTATACTGTGGCAATTTCAACGAAAGCATGCCAAGAAGAGGCCAGATTTTCGCTTTCGGGCTTGCAAAGTGACATTTTGTTCTTTGTTTTCAGTTGTCAATATTTACGTTAATTTCGTAGAATTCTTTTTAGTGAAACTGGTCAAGTTTTGTATCTGTTGCAGAGGTAATTTCGAACGAAATCTTTTATTGGCCGAATTAAATTTTTCCGACAGCTGTTATCGTGAATTACCGGCAGGTATATTCCAGTTGATAACCTTATATAAAAGGAGTTTTTATTAAATTCATCTTCATTTGTATGATAGGCTGATGATGCCTTGTTAATGGTGTTAAAGTTTGGTAGAACATTAAATTAGAAGCTTCAAGTAAGCCGAGAAAATACTGTGATAGATTATTCAAGCATAATTTACTAGGAAGTGATTTGGTGAAACGAAAAGATAGTCAGTATCTTTTTCGAAAGATATGAACTAACAGACATGGGTGAAATGTGGCTATACTGTTGTCAATAGACAAGCATTGATTTAAAAATACGTTTGAAGAGAACCTGAAAATGTTTGAATTCATGAAAATCTGCAACAAATTTTACGATACAAAGATCCACTATCTCGTAGTGGAGTAAAATATAGTATGTTTCTTATAGAACATATAATATATGGAGCACGTCATCAAGGTACCAAACGTGATACAAATTTTATGATCTATCAGTGGAGACACTTAGCTTTCGGATTCGATCAAAAACGGCCATTAATAGACAATGCTTTAGAAGATAACTACGTTCAATGTTTTGCGCCAAATGATTCAGATATTCTGGCATCAGTATGAATTTTTTTTTTGTTAGACATACTTTTTAAAAATTTGTCGAAGAAAAAGCGCAAGTTTCTGCTGGTCTATAGAGTTAAGGCAGTTTAGTTTTGAAGCAATGTTTTAATAGTTATTGCACGATAACCCTATTTCTTGTACTATTTCGCTTTTTCTTCTTATTTTGATGCGAGCTGATTTCAGTCGACAGTTGAGGCGAAAGTAGCAAAGATGCGTATGGATCAAGACATTGAGCTAGAGACAGGCACTCCAATGGTGGTGTTCGATTTGAAAACAATGCTGATTCGCATCAGTAGTTATATCATCACCAGTGATTCCTTGACTAATAATGATAAGAAAAGTTTGTCATTTTGTCATTTCAAAAATTATTTTACCTTAATGGCACCGTAACATCGGTTAATTTGCATTACTTGTTTCCACTTTATAGTATAATGGGTCTTCTCAAAACTGAAGAGTTCACAGTGCAAAATATTAAACTTTTGCATAATATCTATCCAAAGTTACACTGTCGATGATTTTCGTTGTCTGTTCCGTGTTGTCTGTTCTCAATTTTATTTGAAATTTTCGAACCTCATTCTTCATTTTAAGTCACACTTTTAATTATTATCACTATTAATTTTTTGGGAGATTTTCAGGTTAACTTTTTCAGAGCTTAATTTCTTATAAAAATACTTCTCTAAATCACAAAATTTTTTCTGTTTGCTTCAAATTTTATTTGTTTTCCCCTTTTCAGGTTTATTATCATTTGTCTATCAGATAGTTTTGTATGCAGGAATTGTTCGTACATCGATTGTGGCAGCTTTACATATGCCGTTATCACAGCTGAAGCGAACTAAAAATCTGAAATTGAGTAATGAGGTATTGTTAGACTGCATAAATCCTTGCAATATTTGATTTGTGTGATTATCTTAATGCATCTTTGTATAATATCAGCTTGCTTCAGTTTTATTCTTTGAGTGGTAGGAAGAGAAAGAGCTGGAAGAAGTATTTCATGAATTTTTCTTCTTAGAACCTGAAGTGTTTAACTTTCGAAAAGGTTTTTCAGGTATTTACATTCGCTGCGCAAAGTGTCATAAATAGACTCTTTTCGCGATCTCATCTGAAAGCAGAAAATATTTTGTTGAAAGATGGAGTGAGTTCAGTAAGAAGCCTACGCTAATATTTTTTTTTGTATCTGATCAGTTCAAAACTTTGAATCCTTCAATATTTTTGAAATGGATAAACTTGTAAACATCAAAGTACTTTTTTAAATCAACTCTCCAAATCAAAAAATTTAAGGATGAAGTGGATTTCGAAAAAGCTTTGCAATATGCTTGTACAGATTTATCTCGTTTAACTGCACAATTGTGGCACGAATGTGGTATACATAAATATAATGAGGAACACGGCGTTAGTCGTGCCACGTTCATGGAAATTTACAAATTGTTGACAAGTATGTAATTATCTTCAAATCTAACATATTTTAAATGGAATTGCTTACATCTTGTTAGCAAAGTATTGCCTTTCGGTAACTGCGCAATCGCTCAGCCAATCTCTGTTGTGTAAGTTAAACATGAAAACGAGGAACGGAAGATAGATGACCCAAGAAAGATCGAGCTAATATAGAAATACATTCAAGCGTATTAAAAGTAATATGTTAGTAATTGAGCAATACTGGCTCTAAGTTGTTACATAAAAAAATTTAAAATATTCTCAGATATTTTCATTAACCACGAAATAAAAACTATCGGTTATCATTCAATATTATCATGGCGAACTTTCTTTTATGTAATCATCTATAGATAATGGCGAACTTTCCCTGGAATTCTTACCTCATGTTCATATTGAAAAATGGGTTGATGCAGTACTCCGATGGATTACCTGTAAAAATTTCGTAGAGGTAATGAATTGTTATATAATTCGTTGATCACCGAATAGAAATAGTTGTAGGTTTTTGATTCATCCACGAGTAATAATATAGCAGAGAACTAAATAAGGATACAACTTACCATTATGTGGAAATATAATCACTTCATTTGAAGATTTTAGACGAGTGTTTGTCGCGTTCGATTACCATGTAATTGTTTCGCCTTGTTGTGCATTTATCAAGGTATCCTTGGAATTTTCCTCTTTACATTTCATGCGTTGTGTTGCAGAACTTGCATAAGGAGCCGTTGTCATGGCGCAGGTTCACGCTTCTTACGCTGCCGAAAAGTTACGACGACTTATTTGCTCGATTTTTTGGATTTCCTTGCGTGGCATGTGGACTGGTTCCTCGGATGCCATTTATCTGCCTTCTTTGCGGGCAACTTTCGTGCTTGGATAGTTGCTGTACGACATCAGCAACCGGAACTGTTTCTGCAAATGAAGTGGAGCGAGTACTCATTTTATATTTTTAGATGATTACTTTTCAAATTAAAGTTTACAGATAGGTTATAAACTATATGAAGAGTAAAATTTTGATTATAAAGGGAATTGTTTTTCATGATTGTTTCTTCGTTTTAGTGTGCATCAGTTGCAAAGTTTAAAAAATCTCCTCGTTTATAGAAAGCAGTCTATTGAACAATTAAGTATTATGGATGGGATAAAATTTTGTTCTAAGTTTTTAAATTATTGAAAACATGCAGAAGAAAACAAATTTCAGATTAGGATAATTATTCCTGGCAAATTTGTTATGTATCATTGATTTCACTCAATTTTAGCACGCACTGACTTGTGGCAGTGGTATAGGATGTTTTTTATCAGTGAATACCTCATTGATTGTGATAGTTTGTAATCGAAGGGCAGCACTTTGGGGTTCGGTCTACTTGGATGTCCATGGAGAGGAAGATCGTAATTTAAGGTTTTGTTTATTACGCTTCATACTTTTATGCTTTTATAGTACAGAAACTTCAATTTTACTTTTTTTTAGACGAGGCAAGCCATTATTCTTATCGAAACGTCGCATAGAAAGATTGATTGCGGATTGGACAATGCAATCATTTGAACATTTAGTTGTAAATTTCTTTAATTTTGATGATTTGATGTCTTATCTTCGTGATGCTCATTATGTGCTTCAGTAGAGAGTTGTGCACATTGCATTATCTATGTTTCATAAACGATAGCTCACCGTGACAATTTTGGGTAATCTTTGAAATAACTCCTGAATTTCATAATAATGTTTCAATACGATTGTTTCTTCTTTTTTAATCGCTTCCTATTTGCGGCCACTATGCGTTTATTAAAAAGTGGCTGAAAGTTCTAAGTTGCTTTCTAAAATATTCAGTTTACTTTTTGACTTTCGAGTTATTGAAGAAGACCGGAGTATTGGAGTATAGGAAGGGATAGTTAGAAAGTTCGGAATCCTTTTAGCGTGTTCTAGTTCACAAGCTGAACATGTTAAACAAAAACCTGACAGAAATCACAAAAATTACGAAAAACATTGGAATTGAAACATATTAAATCATTAACGCAAAGCTTACCTTACACAAGCTGCAAACGTTCCTTCTAAATAAACAAGGATGGTATACGTTTGCTTGCATATGTATAAACTTGCGCACGTGTTTGACTTTTTAATTCTCCTGGATAGTTTTCAAATTAATCGCCGGCATTTGAACTTAAAAAATTTCTAAATTAAATTTAAACAGTAAAATCCTCATAACATAACATGTGACAATTTGAAACGAGATGATCTTTTTTTATATATATGACGGTCACAGTGGAAATTATTCATTTGTCAGGTATTTAATTGATACATAATGTGTAAAGTTCACTTAGGAGAAACATGTTCTCATTATGCCCTCAAATCTCCTTAATTGCAGAAAGACGTCGCATCAGCGACGGTGTAGTCGAAGTTTTTATTGATGTTGAACTGACACAGACGGATATGGTTGTGATAAAGGTTTTGTTGGTAAACGGAGGATTTAATTGTATAAGAGAATATCAAGGCTAGAGTGATGGTACTCCTGGTGAGGACCGTCTGTGTTAGTGGTACTAATCGAATACTAATACACCTTGTAATGCTGATAATGATGGTGCTAATACTAACTTGGTTGAACCGAAACATACTATTTGAATTCTTTCCGAAGATAAGGAGAGCTAAATGAACAAAGATCTTAGCATTTTGAGATAAATTATTGATGAGGAATCCTTTTGGTGAAGATTTCTGCAACATAATTCACTTGAATTATTGTAACAAAAAATTATTTCAATTTTCCAACACTGATTGTTATTTATTGTCGCTTTCTAGTCATTTGAATCGAAATGAAGACTTAGATCTGAAGAGATGGAAAAAGAAGACAGGTGAAGTTTGCATATCCGAATTAGTTGTTGAGAAACTGTCTTACCTTTTCCCACTTGTAGAGCATGTTGGTTAGATTTCTAAAGATGATATCTGGGAATGTTCCGCACACATTTTATTTGTCTCCTATTCTATCGCATCATACTCGACTACTGAAAATCCAGTACTTGATTTACTTCATTTATTTGAACTATGAGCTGATTAAACTTAGACATGTGAAACTTAGATCGAACATATTTAATGAGATCACCCGGTATCATTAATAAGAGTCAGCCATTTTCTGAACCTATATTTGAGCTTTTTACACTGAGTTGTTTCATGGAGGTAGACTTCTACGAATCACGACATTTCATTTGCACTATCTGATTATTTTTTTACACTGTTTTTTGAAAATGAGAAAGAAAAAATTATTTCAAATTATTGGCTCTTTTGCACGTCCATTTACATATTGATCCTTGTGCACGTTCACTTATAGTAGTTCCATCTATTGTTGTTAAATGAATAATATTGATCATTTCATTACTTTACTTCATACAATCACGGATCAATTGTTGTTTGCTGTTTAGATAGATCTCTTACTGTTCTATTCTATCCTCACGTGATGATTCGGAATGCAGCAAATGCGTGAACCTTACGTCCTATGTCTAGAAAGCCTGATTTTCCCGTTTGACTGGAATATTTCTGAAGTTCGCAAGGCTGAATATGATGTTTTTAAGGGAACGACACTTCTCATGTCGACTATTGAAATCATTTCAACCGATGAAAACGAAGGAAATGTTGGGACAAGGTAAGTTTGGAAAGTTTTAATTATTGGATAGTAAGTAATTGTCTTGGCCTATCAACACTATACCGCCTTATTGCTTTACTCGACACATCAAAACTTCATATATGGAACTATCTGTACTAAGGAATTTCAATTTCTTCATTCTCATTTATGCGCGATAATATAATGTAACACTCATCAGAAATGAAATAGTTTGTATATTTCGAATTGAATCCGAAGGTCAACTTTCAATGGCGGTGTCGTCTGTCACTGTTATTTACATCACTGGGCAAAATAATAGGTACATTTTGAGCACTTTCTTCCTTCATCGGATGCTACAAATGAAAAATCTGTTATTATTTAGAAGATCCTCTCAGCGTAACAATGCTTTTATCATAAAGTTACTGTATTTTTCCTTCCGCACATTTATTTCAAATCCTTCATTTTCTTATAACTACAAAGAACAACAGCAATGTCATCTAACTGACCGTTTTAACGTAAAAATAGGCAATAATCGCAAGAAAGAAGAGATAAGCAATAGCAAGAAACATCCACCACCGCTTCAACTCAGACATACATGAAATGGATTTGCTAAAATTTTCCGCATTTATGAATTTTTTGCATCATTCCATATGTGCGTGTGCACGTGTGCTTTTATATTGTAATTGCTTATTTGAATGTGCTTGTGTGTATATTTTGTGTGTAATAATAAGTAACATTCAAACTAATAGTTAATTGGCGAAAACCATAACCAACCTGTTCATCAAATTATATCTATGTTATCGGATGACATGAGATGAAGATATGATGCTGTTACGTTATCATACATATTGGAAGCAATTATTTGATAGGTGTGATAAGCGAAGTGCATACACGACACTAAACGATCTTTATATAGACAACAGGACTGAATGACATAAAAACGATGAAGAGCGACCAGTTTTAAAAAGGTTAGGTCATATGACGACTGGAAAAGGACGTAATCGAAGTTCATATGAGTTGTTTTTTAAAAAAGAGAAAAAAACTGAATTCTGATTTTTGGAGTTGTTGTTGATTGTGATAGTAAGACTTGGCAGCTGTTGGTGAGGAAGAAAAGAATATGGGTAAGGGTTGGTTGCTTTGACCTTCACCTTAATACATTCGAGAGAAATACTCAAAGAAAGGATAATAAGGTGTTTCAGTTATTAATGCTACTACTTCATCTTAAACTTTCTGACATCCTGATGCATATCAAAGTTACAATTCATATTAAATTAGCTGCATGCACAATGCGCTTCTTCCAAATTGGTAACAGAAACAGGAAATTAGTTTCTTTGCCACGCATGTTATTCGGACTTCAAAAGGGGAGAGCAGCTATCAAAGACGGGCTTTCTCGTAATCTCTGTCTGTTTCATTGAGATTGTTAGATGCACTTTGAAAAGCGTGTGTGCGAGGCCTGATTTTCCATTTCTTGGCAACTTCTAATTTAACAAATGATTCAGAACATGATTAGTGAATCTCTTGAGAAAATGATCTTGGAAATGAACCAGCAATAGGCTTGTCTTTTTTTAGCTCAGTTAATGAGGACTTTTTCTAAGTTACGGATAATGAATCCACATTTACTGCGCTCCAACATTTAGTAATTACTTCCTAGAAAAACGAAAAATTTTATTTCTGTTTTTACTATGCTATGTTCTTTACCGGAAATATTCCGGTAGAGAGGACTGCATGGATAATCTTCAAAATAGCATTTCACGCATTCATAATTCTCGAAATAGCATTTTATTAAACTTTGAGCTAAGGAAAGACAATGAAGCGATTTTTTCCCATTTGTATATATATATATATATATATTATCATGATATGTATAAATAAGTGCTCGAAAAAGGGAACTTTGGTACAATTCAATTATGGTTCAAACACTGGATTTCAGGATTCCGTGTAATATTTAAATATCGTCCACAACAGTTCAATAAAATTGTAGTGGTATTTTGATGGTGTACTGATTCGAGAAAAGGTTGTATAAAGCAGGGTGGAACGAATCGAATAGTTGCCATCGCTTTGATTGCCAACAGCGCACTTATCATCGATGCAATTATCGTTATCACTGCAATGTGAATACATGCCAAGTAGCTTACTAGCTTTCTAAATTATCAGTCGATTAAAATGATTTATTTAACAGCAAATTATTTAAATTACCTCAGAGCCTCCCATCACCCTGCTTAACTTTGCATAGTTAATTTATGTGGCTGATTTGCCGACAAAATTAAGTGATCTACAAGCGAAATTTTGGTTGCTCTTGCATTAATTAACGTAACTCACCGTTCAAAAGCACGTACCAATACAATATGTGACGTGGTGTCCTCTCATAAATTCTGCAAATAGATAACCTCAATAGATTCTCGCATCCTTGCATGTTTTTTTAATTTGTTATGCAAAGATCACACTTCACTACTTCAAACACCATAAGTCCTTCACGTTCAGCAAAATGCTTCTTGACGTCAGATGTAGTTTCTATCAATAGTTACATAAAAGCTCAAACAGGAATGGTCTACGTCTACGTTTAATTGCAGGATTTTGCAAATATAGAAAGAATTGATCATATAAAGAATTCTTGATTCTTTCATACTATGTCGATATGATATGATATGACATTTCAACTTAGGAGTGAAAATTCAGCTCAGAGACGATCAGTTACTAGAGAAGCTTAATTGGAACTAATATTCAGCAAAATTAACTCTTTTAATGTGGGTATTTTCCATTTCTTCGTTTTCTCATTGTATCGCTGTGATTTAAGAGAAAGACCGAACAAAGTTGGCAATATAATGCAGGTAAATGGGATAGATGTACTTCCGATCAAATCCATAATTGAACCGAAACTCGGAACTGATAAGGCAACGAATAATATGGATGCCAAAAGTCCGGTACGAACGGCAACACGTTGCCAACACATCTCTAAGAAGACATTTTCAAAAAAACTTCAAACTTGGTTTTATTCTGGTGCAAAATAAAATCTATTTTTAATTTGCCATCGATGCCAACGAGAACTTTAACCTTTCAACAAAAATCTCTTACTAGATCTCTTTAATGCCTTTGATTTATACATTCAAATTAGCTTTCTCGATTTCTTTAGAGGAGAAGAAACGAACTGTGTGGAACATGGAAAATATCTTCAAATTGTTGATTGATTGGATTGATGGTAAGGATAATAGTAAAGACACAGTGGAATGCAACTGCCAGGTCAGCTCCATGTCGAATCCAAGTTGTTTGGAGCGAATCAATCACTGAATTCCGCATACTTTGACCGTAGACAGCATAAGAATACACGGATAATGGGATATACAGACAACCGGTCCCTAAAAATAATACCTTATTTCTATAAAATTTGCTCGGCTTTTTGTTAATTCGAAACTCTACTAAGTAAGAACTAATAAATAGAATGAAATTAATTTAGCAATATTCATTTGACAATACTCGAGGTCCCTTTTTGCTGCACTCCGAATGAAATAACACTTTTCCATCTGTCATCCAAGATAATCCAACCTTTTTGAAGTAAGCGAAGAGAAGTTATTCTCACCTCAGATCTTTTAGACATTCAAGCAAAATACACAACTAACAGATGAATCCAACCACGATAGATTTTGTGAATTCTTTTGGTTTACGCATATCATGTTGTATCGTTGGAAATACGTGATGACCGCTGTAGGCAAATACAAATGTGCCAAGACTGTAGAGGGAATGAAAGGTTGGTGGTTTATAGACAGCTGATGATTTGCATGAACTGTAATCAAGACTAACACCAATCAAAATTAGCACAATTGCAGCGACAGTACAGAAAAGTGACACGGCCACAACAAACCTGAAACCAAATTGCTAATTTATACTTGTGGGAAGCGAAGTGATCAATTCCGGAAAAAATTTGGCAGTTTAATGATTGGGAATATGTTTTCTTCACTTCCCGGATAAATAATATTATTTAATCATTCATATTTTAAGTGTATTGGAATTTTGAAAGATTGGAAGGAAAAAAAAAGACCATATCTTGAAAATGAAGAAACTGAATGGATATCATTCAAGGCTTGCCTAATAGATCAGATACCATTCAAAATATTTCTGACAAATTCGGAAAAGTCAGTCATTTATTCGTCCTTTTCACTTCTGCTTTTTCTATATGATTCTGTTAAAAGATCTCTGGCGATCATTCTGTGATTTTTCAATTTCATTCTTCATCCCTTTCTCAAAGATATGATCGCTAACAGTGGTGACTGTTGATAACCATTTGCTCTTTTGTATAAAAATCATTTTATGAAATTCCAAGGGAAAAAATTTTGATTTTTCGAACAAACCAAAAATCAGCTGGCGATCGAAGAAAAGTAATCGGCCAGATTAGTATGGCAAGGATTATTAGGAAGAGGCAGAAATGTATTCTAATACCGAAGTAGATCAGAACTTTGTGGAATATGCTTGACGACAGAATAACATATACCGTAGTGATACCGAACAGCGTAATGTTAACACAGATAGAGGTAAAAGTCCTGAAATTTGAATTTTTAATTTTTGGAAAATGAAGGTGTAAGACATTTAGGTTAGCCATGTTGTTTTACAGCTAAAATTTCCATTGTATCATGTTTCAAATTTATTCTCGCTTCTGTGGTTTGCAGACAAAGACATAGCAAGCTTAAAATTAATAAGCAAATTAAAAAAGCTATAGCTTATCTCAATATTTTACAAATCCAAATATTAGACCTAATTTGAAAAACGCTAAATTGTAGTTTACCTCATTTTAGGTCCAAAACTACGCATACCAATTTCGGGATACGGTTGACGACAGTGTGCCTTGTAAACAACCCATCGATCTCTCATAATACTCCATGTTTCAGATAAGAGATAAGCACTATTAGTGAAGAATACGGCAATAAATGCCATAAATAGACAGCCAAGAACCATACCTGAACCGAGGGTGCATAGATTCATTTCATTCAGATTTTTAATTTTTATCAGCAAGACCCGATGATCGAATTCAAGAAAAAGCAGAAGTGATTGACTCCTGTAGCTTAAGAAACACAACTTTCTGTTGCATAGTTTTCGTTACTCAATTCATAGACATAACCTTTTTTGGGATCAAAAACATCAACAAGAAACCTGTTTCATGAAATCCAGCCGGCATGGCCACTATACCTCCGCCAACCATATCCGCGACAACCATGATGGATGCTACAAACCAACTATAACCTCGCTCCGGAACAATCAGAGCAGATGTGACGGTAATATCCTTCGCCTTGTCTTTGATCGTCTCCATTTGCTGATTGTTTTGCATTTCAATGTTGGAAATGAATTTTTTGGTAGCTTTTCGTGATGAATCACTGCCCGTAACAGTTTTGATGTCTGCTTGTGCTTGTAATATATTGCTAGAATCTCCCACTGATCTGTTCATTATCCACAATTTTTATCTGAATGTTGTTAAAATTAAAGAAATCTCAGTTCCAATGAATTGAAATTTTTCATTCTAAGAACTTCCAGCGTAAAGAAGAATTCGGATTATTAAGCATTTCTGTTCAACCATTTTTAATAACCTACCCAATGAACCACATGATAAATTATTTGCCAACATTTAGAAACATCTCTAATACGTTTCTAAATAATCTTTAAAAATATGTCAAGATCATGTCATCATTCCCCGCACCTCCAAAATCCAGAATTTAGTAACTGTAAATATTGGTTTGTAATGGATTGAATGCAAGAGCTCTTCTTTCATTTATAATAAACGACGTTTAAGCTACGACGTGTTATTCAAATTGTATGTATGTTATCGGATGACATGGGATGAAGACATGATGCTGCTACGTTATCATACATATTGGAAGCAATTATTTAATAGGTGTGATAGGCGAAGTGCATAAACGACACTAAACGATCTTTATATAGACAACAGGACTGAATGACATAAAAACGATGAAGAGCGACCAGTTTTAAAAAGGTTAGGTCATATGACGACTGGAAAAGGACGTAATCGAAGTTCATATGAGTTGTTTTTTAAAAAAGAGAAAAAAACTGAATTCTGATTTTTGGAGTTGTTGTTGATTGTGATAGTAAGACTTGGCAGCTGTTGGTGAGGAAGAAAAGAATATGGGTAAGGGTTGGTTGCTTTGACCTTCACCTTAATACATTCGAGAGAAATACTCAAAGAAAGGATAATAAGGTGTTTNTTAGGTCATATGACGACTGGAAAAGGACGTAATCGAAGTTCATATGAGTTGTTTTTTAAAAAAGAGAAAAAAACTGAATTCTGATTTTTGGAGTTGTTGTTGATTGTGATAGTAAGACTTGGCAGCTGTTGGTGAGGAAGAAAAGAATATGGGTAAGGGTTGGTTGCTTTGACCTTCACCTTAATACATTCGAGAGAAATACTCAAAGAAAGGATAATAAGGTGTTTTAGTTATTAATGCTACTACTTCATCTTAAACTTTCTAACATCCTGATGCATATTAAAGTTACAACTCAGCAATATAAAAATTCATATTAAATTCCCTGCATACACAGTGCACTTCCTCCAAATTGGTAACAGGAATAGAAAATTAGTTTCACATGCTACCGTGCCATGTCAAACATCACATAGCAAATTACAAAAACTTTTAGAAAGTATTCAAAAACGTTCAGCAGCATTCCTTAACTCTCCCCCGCCTTCTGCATAATAACATCCTCCTCATTAATCAAATTAACAAAGCACATCCTTTGCAAGAACTTGGCGTATCTTCCTCTCTTCCCTCTTCCCCTTACTGTTTCTTGTCTATCTTTTCTCTCTCTCTCTCCATGTCTCTGTGAACTTCGCTCCATAAAATGTGGACAATGAATTTCTTCTCTTAAGATGAACCTGAATGGTGATGATAGGGAAAATTTCCAGTTGTATATTGAAAAATTCACAACGTCGCAGCTTATTGAAGTTAATGAGTGAAAAGCTGTCGCTTTTGCAGATGCGATAGTTTCTTTCTAATCGCTGATTATCATTAATGATTAACATTTTGCGAAATGAATTGAACATGAAGCTTTTCAGAGAAAAGAATCATTTATTCCATAATAATCGATTCATTCCATATGCTTCCTTAATAATTGTATGCAGATTTAAACAAACCATGACAATAATTCCTGAAAATGTCACTTAACGAGTAGTAAATTGATGAATCAATAGGTATGCTGTCACTGTGATTAATTAGAAGCGATAGAAGGCTGATCTGATCGAGATAAAATAACATTCTATTCGAGGTAATTTAGGTGGATTTAACCTTAATGAAATTCATTCTAACATTGTAATTGCTGATAATTCTTCCATCTTTAACATTATATCAGCTTTTTAACAATTTTTTGAATCATTTCTGTTCGACAAGAAATGTAAACACAACTTTCTATGAAATATGCAAAAATGGACGTTACAAAATTCATTGAAATTGCTAAATTTCAATTTAAAGTTCATCTAATGTCTTCTTATAGCATTTCGTTGAAAGATTACATTTTTTTCATCAGTATAAAATGGATCGGCTTAAAAAAAATTCTTTTAAAAATTAAATTTCTGTCAATAAAGATGGATAGATTTCAAGTAAATGTTAGCTTCCATTCACTCCAAATATTTACCTTTTGTTTTATTCTTATAAGTCTTCTTGTTGCTATTTTTTGACAAATTTCAACTCTCTAAAAGAAGCCACCAAGAGATTAACTATTTAGTGACATCTAAAGAGATGTAGCGTGAAAAAGCAAAATTTTCTAAAAGTTTGATTAATTAGGATGAAATTAAAAGAGAGTAACTTCCATGTAAACTTGTTTCTGCTACTACTTTTTTTATTTTTTAATGTCTAAAAATCTCTTTTTTCTTGATATTTAAACATATAATGGTGATCGACGACGGGTAATTTCAGATGTAAACATTAGTTGTTAACATGATCTATTCTTGTCGTATATTTAGTAAAAATAAAATAGTAACTAACATTCGTTCCCTTTCATTTATATTAACAACAAAATAACGCTTTACAAGATTGAAATGCATACTTTCGATGTTATATCAGAAAACAAATTATGAAATGGATGGGTAGTGATCGGTTAAATTTTCGGTGTTATTGCACAAAAGGCAATCTATCATTCATTCAGTTTTATAATTGTCACTCTTTTTTACCCGCTGACAATCTAATTTGAAATCAAAAAAAAGTTATTTTGATGCAAAAAACAATTTTAACATAGCAAAAATTGTAATGTGTATTTGGAAAGATGAGAAGTTTTTCATAAAATGTTACAGGTACACTCATTGGATAGATAGATAATATTGGACCATGGCTATAGCAATTGAAGCTGCGAAACTTTTCAAACTAGTAATCTGATCATGGCTAAGGCATTTAAATTAAATAACATAATTGTTATCCTACCGTTTATCCTCTATCATACCTTTTGTATGTTTAAAAAATGGAAGAGGAATTCCTTTCCTTTCCCACTTTTCCGTTTATTGTTTATTAAAATAAAAAGGTCAGTTCTTCTGAGATTGCAAAATCACTGAACTCGAGCAGTTTGTATCACATCCTGAAACCATTTCAAGTTCGAGAAACCGCTACTTCTTCAAACTTCTCCTTTTCTTCTTCAAATCTTCTCCAAATTTAACACAAATAACTACAATGCACATCTATTGTTTCCCACTATAAACTAACATTGACTAACTGACCACTCAACACATGAATCTTATAACATAAGTTGAATGAATGTATCATTTTCAATTATTTCGAGATTAAAATGTAAAATTTATAGGAAGGGCAGATAAATGTATTGAAAGACAAGAGAAGAGATCGGATCGGAATTACCACCCACATGAAAGATGTTTAATTAACAATGACACTATAAATTATAAATTACTTGTTACCAAAAATGACGACAGATGTCAAGTTTTAATCTCAATACTTTTTATTTACTTTTTTGGATTTTATAAAAAAGATGCCAGTGTTTCTCTTTCTTTTACTCTCTCTCTCTCTCTCTCTCTCTCTCTCTCTCTCTAGTTGTCTGGATGTGACTGAAAAACCAATGAATTTTTATATTTCGAATTTCACTGATGAACAAAGTAGGAGAAACGAGTAAATTATTAAGCAGTATTTTAATTATACCGAATAAGAATGATCATTTATTCAAAGAAAAGAATTGGAGATTGATGTATCCGGAAGACGGATACCATTCTTCCGGATATGAATATTCGTCAGTATAAGATAACCGGAAATTTTTATTTGTTCAATCTTTTCATGAGGAGATAGGTGAAAAGCAATTTATCCTAGTTTGTTGCAACTAAGAAAGAAAACTTAAACAGAAGTTAACTATAACAATAATTCAGCAAGAGTTAATTGGCTTCCACTTGATTGCTACTTACCATAAGAGTGAAATTAATGTCATAGTTTGTTCAGTCGAAGTGGAGGATGAATGATAATTATTATTCGATATGCATCAGAGCGATCACTGTAAAAGTTATATTTTTTGATGTCAATATGCCTTATTTTCAATTTAATGATAAAATTTGAATATATATATATAACTTCTGGGAATGTTTCTTGATGACAGTAAGTGAAAATATGCCTAGAAGAAAAGATTTTTGTTGGCCACTACAGGTAAGAAAATAGTTTTATTGCACTCAATGACATAATAACAAAAGAAACAGAAAGCGGTTTGTGATAATTTTTTTATTCTAACTGAAATTTGCTCTTAATAATCAATAGTTAAATATCAAGAAATTGTGTGTCTTGCAATGTATTCAGTTTCTAATGAAATCATGCTGTGCTGTAGATAATGCGATATTTCTAAGGTAGATCGGAATCTACACAACTGCCATCTATCTGTTCTTATCCTTCAAATGACAGGAAAACAATACTTTAGGAATTCCTCTACAACAAAGTTAAAAACACTGATTTATTTAGTTATATCATTCATTGAAAATTTAACAAATGTACCAGATTTTTGCAATAATTTCTTTTCATTTGTCAAGTGAACAGCGACTGATTGATATAATCCATGTGAAAATCATAATTATGAATGCATAGAGTAAAGAAAAAGGCCTATGACAAACGTTAGTATCAGTAAAAGATGATTAGAAATCAAAATAAGAATTGAAGACCTGTAGAAAAGAAAGAAAAATTGATAGAATGTTGATAAGACAAATGAATTGATCAATAATCAAATGCGTTTATGAGCAGCCATACCTTCTTCTCTTCACAAGGAATAGAATCGTCTTTCGGTGATATGCTCTATCTTCTTTCCTAAATTCTTTCAGTTACCACTTAATTAGAAGAAGCTTAGGTTCTAAAACAAGATTCAACAGTATCAAGCAAGATAAGTTCGAAAGTGAGAGCGTAAATCTTTTGTAATATTAATTTAAAACTGCCAAGGTTGTCGATCAGTTAAAGTTGTTGCTAAATGCATACCCCACTTTTCATCTTTCATTAAGAGAGAGAAATAAAAATTTCCTTCTCAGTAGGAAAATAGTACATGGAAATTTTTTCGGTCCGATTTAAGGAAATGCAGAAATTGGATAAAAAGTGAATTTGAAAAATATACAAAAACAGATAGAAAGATAGAGGAAATGTAAATAATATAGTTCGTTGGTGATACATTTCTTTGCATATATAGCAAAAAATTCTCTGGAAAGAAGCTGATCGGAGGATTTTCGTTGAAAGAACTAATAGGAGGAATTCACCTAGAATTTCTCCTATTAGTAGGTTGGCAGTGATAATCGCTGCAAAGACAATTTCTATTTTTCGTTACTTTCTCATCATTGCCTGTTTCTGGACATCGATATGCTTCTTCATTAATACTTTATTAGTTTCTCCTTCTCCCTGTAATTAATCACTCATCCATAAGAATCTGTCAATTCATCCTATCCCAAGAAAATTTCTAATCTCAACACGATAGTCAGATTTGAATTGTGTGAGACGCTCATGTTGCATTGTGCTGTAGAAAATTATAACAGTAAAAGCAAGCGGTTAGATTTGAATTTTGAATTTGTCGGCTTAGCGGAACAGTTGGTTTTGCTCTGTCCAGCTATCCTGATACTACCTACTTTAGGCGTTTTGTTAGTTTTCTGTCGCCATGTCGAACTTCTTAAAAATGTTTCGCTTGAAGAAGACAACGGAGAAGGATAACTTCAACACAGGATACGATGAGGTTAGTGTCGTTTTCGATCATCTTTTCTTTCATTTTGTTAATCATATTTAGATGATAAGATTAATTAATTTTCCATGGCATTCATTAATTTGGATTAATAATAACATTGAATAAGGAACCGTGTAGTCACTAAAATGGTATCGAAGCACGTCAAATTCTTTCCAATTTTTGCTAGTGCAGGACAACTTTAAAATGAACACAACTAAAGTGGATTTGCGATGATTTCAGGAAAAGACAAAATATCGTAACAAAGAAAGTCACGGTAATGGATCATCAAGACGTGATAAGCGAATTTCTCGAATACGAAGTATTGATGATTCATTATTGAAGCCCGCCGCTGCTTATCATACAGTTACCCAATCGAGACAAAGCAAAACCTCACGATCATGTGTCGGTCGAGATGAGTACGACAAGTACGATAGATTTCGTCATTCAATCGATTTTCACAATCGAGTTAGTTTCTTGGCGATATATATATATATATATATATATATGTATAATATATTTGATGATTGCTTTAGATACTGTTGGCTATTAAAAATGTGATATTAATTGATCCGTAAACAAATTACAGGATTTTGGTCATGCCATATTTGATTTTATTATTAATCATACGATGGCTTTTGTATTTGCCATTACGTTTGATAATGGGTAGATGCAATAGATTCTAATTTCACCTTATATATAATTTGTTTGTCAGATTATCCAGTATCAAAATGTATGGTGAACAGTCATCTTTCAACTATTCTCGTTATTGATTATAACTTATATTACTGGATTGCACTTGTATTGCGTTTGCTTACAGTTTCTATCAAACTTTCTTAATTATGATTAATTTTTCTTAATTATGTAATGCATCACTGATTTTAGGGTAGTGCAAGATGTGCAAAACGCTCGCATGCTGAAAATGACCGACTCCATGATCGAGTTTCTATGTTTACTAGGAACAATTATGATTCGGAAATTTTGGATTCTGATGATTCATACGACTCACAAAATGGTAGTGGTACAAATAATGATGATACAGTTCAGGTACATTCTTAATATTCAATAAAGGCATGGTATTTTTACAGCAATAACTCATTTAAACTGGAACATGAAACATGCAAGAAATGGGAAAGAACGAGAAAGAATGGTTCATAATTTCAATTTTCAAGAAGGAATATTGAATATAATGAAACAGTTTTTAGGCCCTAGAGATGAAATTAGACGCTCTTCTTTATCGCCTTCGTCGAGAGGAAGAGCGAAAAAATTCATATAAACAAAAGTTGATGTCCGAACGCATAGTGCGACAGCATGTTGAAAGCAAATTCGTTGAAGATATCCATCGATTAACTCAGCTAGTAGAAATGCTCAAGAATGAGCAAAAATCATATCGAAACAGAATCAGTGCTTTAGAAAAAGTAAGCTTTTGATGCCATTTCCCTCCTTCCTTTTCAGATGATTATCATTTCACCAATAAGAGCTATGTTGTGCAGGGCAACCGAAAGCCTGGTCCAATCAGTCATTTTCTTATCTCTTTCAGTATAGAAAGATTGTGATGCTTATTGATACTCATCATCTCTCCCAAATATGCACATTCTTCCCTCGTTAATTTGCATTTGTTTTTCAGCAACTAAAACAGCCTGGTCCAAAACTTATGACTGACAGTTTTAAAAAGCTTTTTTGCTCACCACCATCGACTTCAAATGGCCAATCATCAGTACTTGCAATGACCGAACTAGCTTGCTCTGCAACCTCCGGTTCTACTGTCCCACTGCCGTCTACAATACACTGTAGCACTATAAATGAAGGAAGTGTTGACGAAGTGAGGAACTTTCGCATTAATGAGGTACTATGTTTTTTCATCTAAGTTTTTGAACTTCTTGGCAAAGAATATAGAGTTTTCACTAGGTATTTTTTTCGCTAGCATGATAAAAGATTTTGCCCATTACCTCAAATTTTTGATAGAAACGAACGAGCCTTTTTTGTGTTTATTCCAGATTGATTAACTTTTAATCTTTTGATCAGTTTATCAGTGTCATATTGATGTAAATTGTTGCATTCTATCCTAATAGGTCACTTCGTCTGTGGAAGCTGAGCGATACACAATATCCGGCAGTTCTTTCTCAACTCGTGAAAATGAGGGGACAACTTTAGAAGAAACCTTGCGTGCAATTGATCGTGCAACTGCTGCTGAAACAACAGTATCACATGGATTTGGCGATAAAGTAATAACATCAGGGATTCGACGATCGAGCAGTGATACGAAACTTGGACAGCGTGATATATTGCTTAAATCTACTAATATCTAAGCGGTGATCTGACAAAGTTAACTGAACATAATCGATACAAATGTTGGTGTTTCTAGATTTGAGGGAAGTTTCGGGAAATAAAGCTACCTTTAAGGTTGATAGGAAGGGTATACATTACACTGAACGACTATAAGGCTGCTTTATTGAGCCATAATTTTATGATTTGTTTTGTCTAACTGTAACTTACTTTCTATTTGATGTAGTTGGCACTGCGTGAGTGAGTGGTTGTGCCTCTTTATTTTGTTTTGTAGTCGAGATTTAGTAATACTGAATTGAAATGTTGATGTGATGTTTTTATTTGCTATGCTTAATGCATTTAGTCGAATGCTGTTGAGATAATTGATTTATCAATCTATGAAGTATTCGCTCCAAAAACAAACATGTAATAATTTTCCATCATTAATACATTGACTGGTTTATCCGTCGAGCACACCTTTTTGATTATCATAGATTAAAGTATATTTCGCTATAGAAGTACATATCTACACATATTTCGTGCTGTTCGATTTTGGTTTAGATTATAGGGAAATTTTTTCAGTTTGTCTGCAAATCAAATAGGAATCCATTGAATTCACCGATCCCTTTGTATGCTAGTAATAATATTTCTCTATTTTATATCTCACAGCACGTGCCTAATGTTATAATAGGATAAAATTGTAGATGAATATTGAGTTTGGAGATAAGGAAGTTCACAAAATTAGTTTTTCGGCTCTATAATGGAATTTTTTTAAGTTTGTAGTATTTGAAATTTAAACATTTCGCAGTACAGTTCTAGTATTGCATCAGCCGCAAAATCATCCATCTGTTAAAACAGAAAGTATCGTGATATCTATAAGATCAAAGATAGCTGCAGTGACAATAGACTAACACTTAACACATTGACTGGTTTATCCATCGAGCACACCTTTTTGACTATTCTATATTAAAGTCTATGTGAATGGGATTAGGCGATTTCGCGTACGCTTGGATGCTGTTGCATTTTTAATTTAGAATATCTAATTTAAACATTTATATTCACATAAAGCTTTCAATCTCCCAAATTACATAAGCTTTCAATCTCCCAAATTTTCTTTCTTCATACAACTGAAATAGGATTCCACACTGTTTCCGATATCTTGATCAGGAAAATTCATTTCGAGATCTGACATTGAGAATTTTAATTTCGGCCTACGCTCAATCGTTCGTTCTATTAATTATCCGCATTTATAGAAAAGAGTGGAATGAGAGCGAATTTCGCTTGCTAATAATGTAGGAGGGTTGATGATGGAGATGTCCTTTCCCTCCAGACAATTTAATGCCGACTAGGTCACAAAGTCACAAAGGATTTCTTCCCTCTTTCCTTTTCTCAGGTATCAAAGGATCAGCCGCCTCTCTTCCTTACCCATTTTCATCTCTACTTGCTCTTGCTCGGTCAATCATTTACATTTGTTCTCAATCGTTCTTTGGAAATCTCAATCGTTCTTTTTTCCTGTGTCTTTTAGCTAAAATTTTAATTCATTATAAAAATTGGAGTTGAAAGAAGAGAGATCAATCCCGTCACCATGAGGTTTCTTTCTGTTGTATCGAATTGCAAACTTGTTTACAGGGGTCAAAAGTCTTGGACTCATGTTAGTATAGGCGTATCTAGTTGTGTTTGATCTTTTAATGGAACGATATAGCTATCATTTTAAAGCAATCTCCGATCATTTTGAAATAAAACTTTAATTAATTTTCGTAATGACTGCGGATTGGCACAGGATTCTTGATTATCTGTATTATTAAAGCTATTTTCTTTCGGAATCTTTTCGAATCTGTCTAACTTTTCGTCTAAGACGAGCCCGTCTTTACTCTTCGTTCCGGAAAATGATCATTTGCCCTGCTTATAACTCATATTTTAGAGGTGTATACAATGATTAAAAGTTGGTTAAGGTGGAGGAAAGCGAAAAAAGTAGCGGTACGTCGTTTTCTATTCAGTCGTTTCCGTTCACTTAATTCCACTCCGTTGCACTCGGTTTTGCAATCCAATTAACAAACTAATTTTTCTTCATTAAGAAAAACTTTAATGATATTTCAGAATTATTAGTGAATGAATATGAAATATTCAGGAAGATGAAACTTGCGGAATCTCCGGAAAAGATACCCAATGTGATTACCAACTCAACGCTACAGCAGCCTACCACACATCCACTCGACCGCAGCCATATCATGGTCCACGTTCATGTCCCGCTGATCTAAGTATTAATCAATGTAATGCCTGCAGTGTTGTTCCGGATCGCTCCCTACATTCAGATATAATCATTCCCGGCGGAATGGTTCGTAATGGTTTCGAATTTCGGATAATTATTACTTCAAGCCGTGTTTTACTTTTTCACCTTTGTTTTATTTTGAATCATTCATCCTGCCTTCCTCGTTTTAAAGAATTATTTATTTTATGGAAATCAATTTAAACGTCCAGAACTGAATTTGATTTTCTCAATAGCATTGAAAAAATTTTTCAATAAAGGTTAAATGAAGCTGCTTCTTTCTTAATTGTAGGTTCATCGACGTCGTCGACAGCAGCATCGTTTCCGACGTCTTAATGCATCCACTTCTGAATACGGCAGTGGTGATCCATCACCAACAACTTTGCATAACACATACAATCGTAATTTGGATGATTCAGATTCCTGTTCAGATTCTTGGACAGCGGAATATGAACGGGCACAACACATTAGGGTAAGTTTAAGAGATACTACAAAATGGTATGTCACAGAGATATCACTCCAACTTTCTTTTTTTATTAATCAAAAAAAAGAAAAATAAAGCCAAGTGATCTATCAAATGTTTTTCTTCGAATTGTAATTCTCTGGAAATTTCCAGGAAATGGAGTACAGACTTCGGGAGCAGAGAAAGAAGCTAAAAGACTACAAAGGAAGGTTACGAGCTGAAAGAGATTTGAGGATCGTTAACGAGAGAAGTATGATGGAAGAGGTGGAAAAATATAAATGTGAATTGAAGAAGGAACAGCGAGAGAGAAAAGCAACCGAACAACGATATATCGACATCATCGCTTATATGAAAACTAAACTTTCGGTAACCTTTTCACTCATTTGTACTTTCGTTGCAAATCAGTGATCATGCTACACTCGATTTTTTGCGACATGAGATATTCAAGAGACAAAGGTCACAAACAAACTAACACACATTCTTTATTGGCCGGTGATATCTGTATAGTAATATTACCTAGGGAACTAATGCATGAAACCAATAACAAATAATCAATACTATCGCTGGTGCATGTATTTCACCTAATAATCATTCGATCCTGCATTCTGGTTTTAAAAAAAGTAAAAAGAAATTGCTTCGAAATAGCCTGTTTTAAATGATTTCTCATTCTCATAACTGCACTTGAAGAAGAAGAGAAAAGGACAAAAATGAAGGAAGTGTAATTCAGTAACTGATTCGCAACTTTGTATAATTCGGATTTTATTGTCAAGATTCAATAAATCTTGGTAATTTCGAATTATTGAAATTAAAAATGCACAACATACTTTAAAGCTTTTGGAACAACAACAACCAATGGGACAGCGATGTCTGCCGCCATCACTACCATATCCCGGTGACTCAATCATTAATCTGCAGAATGGTACGACACAAATCGGTAGTGCCGGTGAATTGCCATATACTTTGCAAGCAAATGCTCCATCGTCAATTTTACGGAAAATCAGTTTCAAGCAAGAATTAGATGAAACGAAGAATTTCCGAGCTGAAGAGATATACGGTGACTTGGAAACTATGAGAAGTAGTGAAAATACCGCTACGACAGGCACAGAGCAATCCGACCGAAATCGCCGATCAACAACACTGCTTAGAGAATACGATTCCGACAACGATGACAATGGCTATGTGACCACATTTGAGTACCCCGTGAAAAGCACATAAACTCGAAAGACCAGCGGCCTACTGTGTACATCATTATGAATCATGACTCTGCTGGCTTTTTATGATTATGTTATTTGATTTATTGTCAGATTTTTAATTATATTGACATTTTTGTCACCTTATTATCCTTCCATATTATATCAAAAGCACTATTAATTACAGTATGAGCATTCCATAATAATATTGTTGTTATTTTTTGCTTCGATTTTTTTGTCAATCTTTTTAATCAGTACCGGGTAAAACAATTGCTTTACCTTGCTTTTGCCGTCTAGTGGATCATTTGTTGATTTATTCTACAGTGTTTTTCATTTTGCTCATACCATTGATTATTACCGTAATAGAACCGTAAGAACCGATCTTATGAATAAACAATTAAGTCACTTTGTTGATTAGTTTTGCCGAGTTAAAATCAAAAATTACTTTCGAGCATCATTGTCTCATCACATCAATCGCTGTTACTCAGTAACGGTTGGTCCGGTCGATTAAATCAATTTATATATATATAAGTCAATAAGTCCGTGGAAATGATCAACACTTTGGCGAGATTGTTTTGGAAGGATTTTAAAATTACACAATTAGTTGGAAGTAAATCAGCAATTGTTTCATGCTCATCTCTTTGTCCATAGAGGTAGAATTAGTTGCCAGTCAAGAATTGATTTCCCTCAAATCAAATGTTTTTGCTTTTAACCAGTTTATTGATAATCAATTGAATTAGAACACATCAAATGATCAATGAGCAAAGTGGCAGGCCAATATTCGGATTAATTTAAGTTGCAGAGTTTAAAATCATTGTGCTATTTTCTGCGCTGTAGTCTGAATGACATTGTAGCCTTGATGATATGTAGCCTGAATGATATTGTAGCCTTGATGATATGTAGCCTGAATGATATTGTAGCCTTGATGATATGTAGCCTGAATGATATTGTAGCCCTGATGATATGCAGCCTGAACGATATTGTAGCCTTGATGATATGTAGCCTGAATGATATTATAGCCTTGATGATATGTAGCCTGAATCTATAGTAACAAATGGGTTCTAAGCTACACAGATTTCTCTGATTGTATTGATAAAGCTGTTGAATGATTTGTCGGAAAAGTGAATTCTACAAAGGAGGAATACAAGATAGGATTAAAAGGATGTGACAAATTAAGTCTAATAATAATGGAAATAAACAATGGGATTGGAAGACGAAACCGAAAAAAAGAGTTAAAATAGAATATTTGGCAGTATGATCAATTATTGTGGGATGACGCTTTTAATGAAAGCTTTCCCATCTTCATGACAAACTCCAACAACAGTCGAAAATATGTATTCATTAATTAAAATAGTGAATGAATATGCCTTATTTAGTATGTTTATCAACCTCCCGTACTATTCAAGACATTAACTGTCGTTTATTATTATGTTATCAGCGCTTTGAAATATACATTTTGAGATAGATATGCGTTTGAGAACTGTCTGTACTCGCAACTGGACGTTTCATTGTCAAAAAAAGTGGCAAGTGAAGAGAGCAAATTTTAGCTTAATGATGATTGGATGATGAAATAAAAAGGATAATGAAACTGAAGTTCGGATAAAAGAGATAAAACAGATAACGAAATAAAAAAAAGAATCGAAATTCTGAAAGGATAAGAGAGAAATAAATATTAAAGTGATGATAAGTGATTTCAAATTAAATTTAGTATTTGAAGCATTCTCTATCGAGGATCAGCAAAAGTAGAGATAGTAAAACTCAGCGGTTCTTCGAAAATGCGACAATACAATTTGCATAATTGCAGCGTAACATGCACATCAACGCGTTTAATTTATGGAACAAACCTACTTAGTAGCCTCCATTATTGATCATTGTGAATTCGGAAAGAATTAAATTTTCTTTCCGATTCATTGAGGATGGATACCATAAAGCTACTCATCAAACGATTTTGGCATAAATTTGAGTTTCAAGTTTTAACTCTCCTCTGCTGACACCACTAGAAGTTCGTCGTAGTATTTTTGAATAGATTAAAATAATTCGGGAAATTTTTCAAAAGGACGGTACTTTTGAATTATAAAGAAAAATGGCAAAAAAAGAATAAAAAGCATTCCATTAATGAATAGTAGCGGATTAGTATTAGTGGAAAAGAAGAGATAAATGGAGCGAGCCAAAACGAGAAATAAAAGCTAATAATAAACTTTCGAAAGTGTTCAAGAACTGACCTTCCAATGTCTATCTCTTCCGAATCTCATTCTCTTTCTTATTCATCTCAATTTGCATCTTTTTGCATTATTGATATTTGGGAAGAGGTACGAAAGAAATCTTTCCCTCTGACGATTATCATACGAAGAAAGAAAACGGCAAGAAGAAAGAGAAGGAATTACCGAGAAAAATTAGCAATCAACTAACTTTCAACTCCCCTCACTGAAGAGGAATGTTATTAGTTTCGAAGGAGTAATGTAAACACATACAGAGATCATGTGACAAATCTTTCCAAAGCATTGTAGCTTGATGAATGGTGGAAATGTCGCAGTAGAAAATTACCGAAATGTCGCAATAAAAAAATTACCAACGAAGAAGAAGAAGATCTTCGGTTCCCATCATTATGACTTTGAATATTCGAACTGATAAGGTTCCAATCAGTGGTCATCTAATCATCCAGATACCACTCAGTTAACTGTTTATCGCATCACTCCATAGGAAAATCTTTCCTTAATTATCCACATCGTTTTTCAGCTCCACTCTTTCACTCCTTTGAATGAAGAACAAGAACTAATCACTAAAGTTCATGTCCACTCGAATGTCACATCACATGAATGGGATGAATCATATATGATGACTATTGGTTTCTTCTTTGTTTCGTTATTCGCATACACACATACACATTGCGTCATCATAGAATCTTGACTTGTTTGCACTAATCACTCATCCTATCTCTTATTTTACATTGCACCCCTCTGACCCAGAACGTATGTTGAAATGCGACGCCAGTCCTTCCATCTCTTCTACATCAACTTCTTTTGTTGATTACAGAGATTTCGCCGTTGCTTTTGTGCTGTTAATGTTGTGCCGATTCGATGTAAATTTGAATTCAAATCTGTATGGTAGGTATAGGGAAAGTTCATTAGTGTGCTTAGTTTTTCTAATCTTTAGAGTTTAGAGCCTATCGGTTTATTTCATTACACTTTGGTAGTGCAAACCGAGCGTTATCATATTATCAGTTTATTATTGCTGTTCTTCCAGGCTTGTTATTATCTCGCTATTACCAACTACGAAACCGAAATGATTCAGAGGCTGCAATGCCTGATTTGTTTTGATGCGTTTCCTCTGAATGAAAGTGCGGCTGTACGTTGTGGCCACATATTCCATCTACACTGTATCTTGCAGTGGCTTGAGGTGAAGCTTTATTTCAAATTTTACTTTTAGATTGTTTTCTTCTTCATTAGTTATCCTTCTCTGTTACCTATATACCCACTCTGTGTAATTCGTGATTTAAAAAACCAAGCTAATGCTGTTTGGTCTATAGTGTTACTAATTTCTTACCTCTAATGTTATCTGTAAAGATAGCTGACATGTTTTTCGATATATACATGTATTTCCCTCTGTATGATAATTATGTGTTTTATTGCCTGTTTTATGATTCCCTAACTAACGTTTTAGACAAATAAGTGGTTTGAGAGTCAAAGCTATGGAATATTGTTGACATCTCATGTTTAAGTGTATCAAAGAGAGTAATTATGCCCATCATAGATGTTTTTATTAACTCATGATTATATTTCGTATTGTATCTTTGATTTTCTATTTTCTTTGACCTTCTAAAGGAGGAGTCATTTCGTGGATGTTACAGAGCTGTAAAACATGTCCGGTTTGCCGAAAGAAGGCTACAACAAGGGATCTTATTCGACAGCTCTTTTTTCAAATGGAAGAAAGTAAAAGCTTCAATTCCGATAGCATTGATCCACTCGAAATGCATAATGAAGTTTCTTATTTCTTCGTCTTTTATCAAATTGCAAAGGCCTCTTTAAAGAATATAGTTTTGGAGAAAATAATGCATTAACATATGTATCTGATCTACTTGACTATGATGATTTTTTTATTGGGTTCGCAAAAATTGTCATCCATCTTTTGAACAAAACGATTTATAACTCCCGCAAGACATGTATGGAAAATGCAATCATGGGAGTATGTGCGATACGGAAAAATTCAAGTAGTCGTTGCATTTTTATTTTTACACAATCGTATGAAAGTAATTAATACATCATATTCTTACATTGCAATATATGCAGCTCCAGAATGCCTTGAATAATCTCGAGAGGGAGAAGCAAGCTACCGCTAAAGCCAAAGATGAAGCTAATGTTTGTTTGGCTGCAAATCTGTTATTGGTACTATTTGATTATATCCAAAAAAGCATTTATTAAGTTGTAGCAACTCGCATGCCATTTTTATTTTTTTAAATCTCGAAAGAAATTTTGTTTGGGTTAATCCTTCTGTTTTCCTGAAGAAAAGACCTAATAAACTGAGTAATTTGAAAAGTCAATGAAAGTTGCCGAGGACTTCTCCTTTTTCCCTAATAACCAAAGTTGTAAGTTCGATAAGAATTGACTTTGCCAGTTTTTTCATTAAAAACTGTATATTTAGAAGGAAAAAGTAGCAAATTTGGAGTCGATTTCTCGACTTAATGTGCAGCAAATCAAACATTTGGAAGGCATGCTTACAAAACAACTGGACACGGAGAAAGAGCTGCAGAAGTACAAGAGACGGTTGCAGGCTGCTGCATTGTGAGCTCCTTTACACTACCCCTTCGATACATTTTTTGAAATTCACAATATTTTTGGATATACCTTCTAACATATCACTGGGTCCGTCTGGCTTTCACGCTAGTATTTGCACTACTCAGCTTTGACTAAAGTCCTTAAGTCCTGTCAGTTAACTTTCATTAAAGGCTAATTTTAACGAAGGGAAGTTCGCATTTAATGCATGGAGTTGATGTAAGAGTTCAAACTAAATTTACATCATCCTATCTTTTACAGCTATAAATTGCTTAGTATCAAAAATGATGAACCTGTTTTGGAAATCGATAAATATATCGCCAACGAAGGATTAGAAATGAAGAGATTCCTTGCCTTGCTTAGAAGGTAATATAGCTCCGTTTTTACCTTTTTAAAAAATACAGAGAATACTGATGACTAGTACAGCCATTTTTTTTATTGTTGTAATAAAGGAAAAATTCTTTTGCTGTGTCTTATCTTTAATGATAGGTGCAGAATCTGCACTTATACTAAGTATAATCACGACCATAATGCCTATGATAGTTTAGGAGAAATCCTGCAGTGTTGGATCAGGTTACGTAGTTGTGCTGTTTTTATAACTCGAACCTTTCCATGGATTAAATCTTTTCTATTTTTTATTTTACAGATATGTTTTTTAGCTTTACAGATTACACTACTTTTTTTAGATACTGAAGAGCTGTTGCCTATTTTACATATCGAAGAAATTCTTCATTCCGGAATACATCACAGATTATTGAAATATGTAACTAAGCTTGATTTAATAGAGCTGACTCATAATTTGTTGCAGACAGTTGAAAGATGCCATGAAGACAGTAGAAAATCAAAAAGAAGAACTTCAAGAGAACCGGAAAAAAATCAGTGAATTACAGAAAAAAGTAATTATACCTTTACTTTCCTTTTACTTCCGCTTCCTCCTTCCGTTTCATTATCTGATAGATTTCAAGATATGCCACATAAGTTATGTCAATTATCTAAAGTTTGGCAGTATCAGGAAAAATCCTGGGATGCAAAATATGAAATATAATTTATATATACTGCTTAGGTGTATGTCCGTTTATACTTGTGACATTGTATATATTCATGTATATTCTTTTTTTTATTTCAATCTTCTACTTGCTTTACTTCGACATTGTGATTTTCAGCTAAGTGAACATAAAAACCTCAATGTAGCATTGAAAAAAGAACTTTCTTCATTTCGAGCAGATCCTTCACAGACATTAATGAATGCAACGCTTGAAGAAATTATTGCTTTCAGGTTAATTTGATTGTTTACTTTTTTTTGATTATTTCCCATAATTGTCTTTATAAAATCTCTTCGGTCTCAAAGCGAACGTGTAAATACGTTATGAATGAGATCGAATTACTGGAAATATTTGACAAAAAGCAAACGTTTATTATTTCACGTATTTTTTCTTGCAATCCAAGGCAGCAGTCATTTTCACAATTTGACGTGGATGACTGTAAAGTATTCCCAGCTTCACTTATGGCTTCATCATGCAGAAATACTTCCGGAAATAATGCTTTAGTGGAGAAGGTACAAGAGACAACGCCAATTCAAAGCAAGTTGGAAAATTCCGTCTTCAGAGATGAAACAAAAAGGTTAGATGCGATATTATGAAGAAATGCTGCGACATTTATCAATAATATGCATTTTTTCAGTCAATGTTTCTGAGTATGATATAGTAGTGCACAAATAGAACCAAAGCAATCCATTGAAAGGGGCTGCTGATATCAGTCATCAAAGTAACAAATTAGGCTAGCAATAAGAGTAGTTCTAGCGTTGAATTATCCAAATCTGTTTTATTGAATTTAAGATTTTATGGCAAAAAGTATAAATGGAATTCCAGCGCTTGATTTGCGTGGCTTTTTTGAGACTACTTCTAGTTTTTAATTACATTACGTTATTGTTTACTATTTCCAATTTAGGTTTTCTTGATTGGTTTTCATAGGGTAGCTTATTGAAACTAATAAAAGATATTACGTTCTAGTGATACGTCCAATAATCATTTCAAATATAATATAGCTTAATGGGAAAAGTCTCGGAGAACAAGTCGCAAGCAGACATTGAAAACGATATGGAAGAAGTTTTTGTGCCTCCTGTTATTCGAAGGTGTGCTACTACAACACAATTTCATGGCGCTTCACGTAAAATTCTTGCCGCAAAGCATAATCAAGTGATCAGAAATAGGGAATCGCTGAAGAAGAGAAGTTCTTGCGTTTATCATCTTAAAAAAAGAGAAGTTCGATGTCCACGATTATATGATTTGAAAAATAATGCTGTTACCGTAAACTAAATCATTGATAGCAGTTGTGATGTATCGCGACATTCATATTAATTGTTCTTGCTTCTCAATTTCTAGGAATTACGAATCTTACAATGTAAATTTTTTTTTTGTGATGACCATATACATAGCGTATGTCTATGTCATGTCGGGAAAAAAAATTACAAAGTGTAAATTACAGATTTCTGAGGAAATAGAACGATTCAGCAGTTGGAAGACTATGATTTGACCATTGATCTATATGTGCTATATTTTCAAAGAATAAAATTTCAAGTTCTAATGTATGTTGTTTATAGCAAAACTGTCCCCCAATTTCGCCTATAAAATCTGAGAGAAATTGGGGGTGAAAATCTGGAAGTCCGTATATCCGAAAATAAAGATTATATGGCGAGTTTCGTTTGTGGTATAATGGATAAATGTAGTTTTACCATGGGAAACATTTGTTGGGTTAATTAAATTTGAAATCTATTTTTTTGGAAGTTCCACAATTAATCGAAATTCAACTCATTTTTATTTTTTTGAATTTTACCAAATAAAATAGACTTATGCCTTCCTTAAGGGTGTTTTTCAAACGAATCCCATAATGCCTCTGCTTTTATTTCAGCTTGCATAAACAATTCGGTGGTTTTTTTCAACAGATTGGATGGAAAAAACAATCCCTTTCAATTAGTTAAGTATACAAGACATTGATAAAGTTCAAATTATGAGAAAAGTTCTGACCAACTTGGTGAAATAAATCGGGAACACAGTGAGATTTTCACGGCGAAGCGAAACCATTTCTTTCGACCGATCACAACCATTTTCATGCTGCGTTATTTCCTCAGCTGGTTCAATTGAACGTGTTCGATTATCAAAGAAACCTCCCAAAAACTTCCAGTTTAAACTTTAAATGTTTCAATATCTTATCGTTATTCTTCTCTGATAAGTAAAATTCAATATTCATTCCATCACTCTTTAATAGTCATTCGATGGAGTTCATATCATAGGTTCAATGCTTCTCAGTGATTTTAAATGAAAATTTGATTAGTACACCGAGTTGTAGATTTGTTACTGCAAAATATTCAATTTTTTCGGATTTCGGATTGAAATACATACAGAACAATCAGAGTGTTGTTGTAAATTTCAACAGAATTTATCGCAAAAAAATTTTTTTTGAATTATGGGATTTGCGCAAAGTAAAATTTCCTTTCCACTTTGTTTTGCTTAGAAAAGGAACAAATTAACTGAAAATCATAGTATCTTTGATGCGAATCCTATAAATTTATTCGGTTTTTATTTTTGTTTCTGCGATCAATTAGTAGGTCGTAATTGCTCAAATCAGCAAGATATCAAGATTTTATGAAATTCGAATTTTTCGTTAAATTTACAAAGTCGCAATTTTCTTGCATAAACTCAAAATCATTTTCTCCATTCTGAAACATGTCATAACATAAGAATTCACGGCTTCCATTCATCACGTCAATATTAGTATTCTGCATTTTCGGCCAACAATGTTGCCTGCAACGTTGAAGAAGAAAATTAAAGTAATTTGTAGCAATCCCTGCCGTTACAATAGTTGCATTGAGTGAGATATAAAAGACGAAAAATTATGAATTTTGAAGAAAACGAAAGTCCATTCAAGAGTCTTCAGAAAGCAATGGAAAGTTTGGATGTTGACGTTAGCGGTAGTATTACTGATTCCATTAGCGACGACAACGACATCCTCGTTTTTGAAAACACATGATGGAATGACTGTTCCTGCGTACCGGAGAAATCATCCCTTCTTGATAATGGGTACAATGCTGCAATTAATGTAAGTTTGCCTTCGATATTTTCTTTTAAGTACGCTACTCGAGTTGTTGTGTTTAAACCGCTCAATAATTCTTTTGTTTCAGAACTGATTAACCTCTTAAAGTTACAGTTATCATGAGTGCGGAAGAGGAAATCGATAGCAAGATTATCAATATTGATATCTTAAACTGTTTATGTTAGAATGATTTCATCAGTGATGTCTATTGTTGAATAAAATTGAAATTTTCTACTGTCAGGAATTGTGGCATTAAATTATCATTGCTTCAATACGATCAATTTCTTGCAATCATTCGAAAAACTGAAAAAAAAGTTCAAATAAATATACAGTTCTGCGGGAGTATTATTCTCTGCTTGGTTAATTGGCTATTTGATTTGAACAGTTTCAATTCAGCGATAAGTGATATCCAATCACTTTGTGGTGTCGCTTTACTATTGCTAAGGAAAAGTAAAATTCCATGAAGGAGTGAAGAATAAGATTATTTGGAGCATAGAGGGGATGAAATTTGTTCAGCGGCTCAGTGGATTACTTAAATTGATTCAAAGATTTGACAAATGATTTAATAGCTGGATGATTTTGATCGTACCAATAGAAAAAGGATAAATGTATTTTTTTTAAGCAATTAAAAATGTAAGTAAAAGAATAAATAAAATTCGAAAAAGCATTGTGACAAATTTAGAGATGGTAGAGAACGAAAATCAATAACAGGATAGAGCAAAGAACAAAATAGCTATATTTTATTACTTGCTTTTATTGTGAAAAATATTAGCAAAAATAATTAATAATGAAGAATTCGAGGAAATCGAGATATCTATAATCGATTATTGTGCAAAGAAATCGTAAATATTAGGATCTTTTTGTTGAAAGTAAAAATCTGCACCCACTACAAATTGCTTTACAGATCTCATATAGTGCAGTGTCGTCTCATTTGTTTATATTTCGCATGTTATTATTAATTAAGCTTTAAAAGAATGTCTATTTCTCGCAACGATTTCTTGCATACATGATTTGTTGAATTGATTGTTCGTAGTTCATTTCAGATAAATTGCTGGGTTAATTATTCATAGTTCATTTCTCGAACTTATCTGATTTGATCTTACTTTCGTACGATGAATGTATTGTTATCACGATGAGGAAATATATGACAATTTCAAAATGAGAAATAAAAAAAGATGAAATTTTCTGATTAGCCCAAAATAACAACAGTATTTTATGTGGAAGCTTATTAAACGTGAAGTGTCATTATTTGAGAATGGTACCTCACATCATGCTTTTGTTAGAAATCGGGACCGCACATCCTATTGCGGGCAATCACGCTAATATTCTCATATTGTCATAACTTGTAAAAAATGTAGGTCAATTATTTTCTAACATTGTTGGATTTTCTTCATGTCAGGATTGCAAGTCATAATTATTGTCAGGATTGCAGGAAAGCGAATTTATATGCTTGTCTATCGAATTACTATTTATTTTAATTCTTTACTTGATGACGCAGTGATTTGTTTGCTTCTTATTAATCGTTTAGGGGAGTAATAATTGCTATGAATGATATCGCATTTTTTATTATTTCCGTTTTTTGTAATCTTCAGTCACGCTTGCGCCTGAGTGTAATGGGCAGCAAAAGGCTTTTCCCAGAAGTTTGGGCAGACGACGATCAGATGTCTGGACTTATGTCCATGATAAAAGTATGGTGCATTTCCGATTTTCGATTCGTCAAAAATGTCAATAAATATTCTAGTTGATAATCGATCTGATGTCGGATTTTAGCGTCCTAACCAGCGTATGTAGCAGATAAAAATGAATTGATTGGTTAGCATTATTAACCTAGCAAAGCAGGTATTGAAAAAACAGTACAAAGAACTCGAAATAACTGTTTTAGCACTTTTTTATTTCAATATTATATGCTAATTTTTTGCTTTTTTATTCAGGTAAGAGAAGTGAATCCGAATGATTATGATCGAAAGGTAGAATTTTGGTCTGATATGATTGCAAAATCATGTGATATTGAGAAAAATTCAATCTTCACTATCGATATATTGAAACGACGTTTTCGACGGGGTGATCAACTACCGGGTTCTCTTGATGTTATTATTCAACATATGCTTGAGTAAGCTTTTCATTCTGATTGGGTTGCTTTTACATGTCATACTTTTTTCAATGAAAATTTGTCAAGTGTTCGTTCTACTTATTCGGATAGTTGGGAAATGGTACTTTTCTTTTATTAAAATATATCAGCATATTAAATTTCTTATTTTCTGCGTATATATTGGTAACACAAAATAACAATGATAAAATGTTAGAGAATTCGTCGACATATCCTAAAATTTTGTACTGTATATATCAGGAAAGGAGGACCTATCAGAAAGTAAGTGAAATAAAATGCACAAATTTGACATGTAATGATTTAGGCTTTTTTAGAATAATTGAATAGATTATATTCAATAAAAACTGTTATATTGTAATTGCTGGATGCCCTGCAATAAATATAACCATGGATCAATTGTAATTGTTAAAATTGAGTTTTTCACGGTGCAAGTCTTTTTAGTACAGGTGAAATTATCACACTGGATGATTATAAAGCCCGAAATCAGAATTGGCTTCAGCGAAGATACAAGTCATTCGTGGGAAGTTTATTGGGTGCGACCAGTGATAACCAGACAGAATACGTTCACCTCCCAACCGTTCAAGTAACTTCTTGTTCCATGTATTACTTCTTCTTGAGTCTTATAAGTCAACTTTTCTTGTTATTGTAGTTTCTATTTTTTAAGCCTTATCTGTACAAATTCAATAAGTATAATGCTTGAAGTAGTTTTTCGAGGAAAAATATTTTATTGTGATATGTTTTTCAAAGTTGTTTCCGACATTGTAGAGGTTTTTCAGAAACATGCTGACAATATGTTGGAATTTTTCCGAAGCGAATATGCTGTTGATGATGATATGCTACCGGAAATCGTCGATTCGGCAGAGTTTTTTGACGAATGCAAAAATTTGGTTGCTAACAAGAAAGCTTACGACGTCGCGCTAACAGAACTTGTTAATCGAGGCGAAGTTTGTTATTATAGATTTTTTTCCTTTTATGTAGAAAAAAGTTTAGATTTTTCTTTTATACGAAGTTTTTGCTCTCATTTTTTATTCGACCAAAGGATTTATGTGGCTATCTTTACTGCCTTCTGTTGATAATGCAACTTGCTTTTTTTATTAGGATAGAATTTTAGAATAGCTTCCTGAGAATTTCTTATAATTTTTCCTATTACCAATAATCCATCTAGTTTACTATTTTCTGCCATTCTTTGTAGACGTAACGTTTACTTGCAGATAACGATAGGTTCATCTAAAATAGGTGAGGAAATTCTGAAGTTCCGTGACAATAGCGCTCGTGGTCCTATAAAGTGGACGGAATCTGATGCCAGTGTCCACGATATGAGGAGAGCGATGAGCAAATTAGAACATGAAATCAAACGTTTGGAACTGAAAGCGAAGAAGTAAATTCCTTTATCGATCATATTATTTTATTGTTATTGTTTGTCATCTTTAATGATTTCTTTTCTCCTTAGGGCTGAACAAGATGCTCGCCTGTACATACGTCAAGGTGATAAGAATCATGCTGCTCATTATTTACGTCAAAAGAAACGAGCCCTAAAGGAAGTTGAAGCTAAAGATAATCAATATCAAAGGCTTCTGGAAATGATGCAACAATTAGGACGAACAAAGCAAAATAAACAAATTTTGGATGCATACAAAGCTGGTGCTGATGCTTTTAAAGCTACTTTGCAAAGGCAAGGTATTTCTCCTGAAGAGGTGTGTTTTGCTATTTTTAGTTTATTTCAGTTGAATTTATAGCATAAAACTATTCTTTGGCTCGATGTCTGTTCTTTGCTTTTTTAACATAAAATGCGTATTGTAGGAAGTTTTTTTTTCACCCGCTCACTTCTTTTTTATTGTTACAGATTGATGAAACTATGGATAATATCGGTGATGCAATGGCAACTGCGGAAGAAATTCAGGATGCTATTGCTGCAGGTGTACCAATGTCGGCTACTGATGAACTGGAAGCTGAATTAAATGCTATACTTGCCGAAGACAATAGTGAGATAGATTTAATGATTAAGAATTTACCGGACATATCACCAGAAAAATCTTCTGCAGCAGGTTCTGTTAAAACTGCTAAGGTTACTGTAGATGATTCAATCGCAGCACGTCTGAAAAGGTTGCGTGAAGCTGCTTTACCGTAAATTTTGCTTGATTACCGTGTTAACTTAATTTCTTATCACAAATGTTTTGATCAACAGACATTTCAGTGAAACGGTAATTTACAATTTTCTTCAGTTATTTTATAATTTTTGGAAGGCAAAGTCTTGTGGAATTTTGTTTATTCTATAAAGAAAATTTTGATTGAATATTACTATTCTGATTTATCCGTAACAACATATGAGATTTCCAACTATTGTTAACGCAAAATTTTGTTTTGGATTATGAACTTATAGCTGTAGGAAAATAGTTTCCCCTATTCATTGGTGATCAGATTAGATTGTAACACTGTTTTTTAGTTTTCTATGCTCTTTGTACTGTACAATATATTGTTTATGTTTTTTTTCAACTATCCTTATTTAATTATAAAAGAAAAAAGAAACAATGGTTTATGTGCTAATAATGAGTACCATTGAGTACCAGACATAAGGATAGAATGATGCATCGTGGATATTTCCTAACCTTTTCTTTATTTCGACGCGCTTTTTTGAAAATAAATGATATCGTCTCACTAATTTAGTTAATAAAAAAATAGTGGATAAGAACAACAGAAAACAATAGCAAATATATATGCAATCAAGCTGAACACATTTATATAATTAAAAATCAAAAATCAAAGCAACCAATAAAAATTAGTAAACGGAATAAAACACATATTTATCATGATCAAATATCAATAAGATAACTGCTGCTATTACAAAAAAATTCAAATCAGTAAAAATGTAACCATATCGAAAATTATCGTTTTTGATGAGACCAAGATCATTACAATGTAATGTTCATCAAAAAATTTGGGTGAAATTTCTATATATGGCAAGGATTTCGTGGACCAATCCATTGCAGAGAATTGCCAGATGAAAAGAGATTGCTGTAGTGGTTTTATTTCCTTTTTAGCGACTTCCCCAAGCCACTTTGGAGTTTTGTCCTACATTCCTTCCTTAACCATATC